ACATTCTGATGAGGTGAAGTGCTGTAAAAGGTGCCCTCTTTCAGTTAATTAATGTTATTTCCCTGCCTCCAGTGATTATAAACACAGGCCTCCCTACTGCTCATGGTGTTTTCTCTCTCTGGATTGCTAACTTTAATGTAACACAGACATGTGCACGGATGATAAGTGAATGTTTCCGCTATGCCAAGCCCTACACCTTCGCAGATGACAACACGAGGAGATTTCCGCTCGCAGTGAGCCTATGTGGTTTACCACATTAAGTGTTCTCCCGACTCGCCTGGCTTGAATTGTTACAGGTTGTAGCTGGCATCTCCCCCCCCGACTGAGCTGACCTGCCCAGTCTGCGCACTCTGTACCCGGTGGAGTTTAGCGGTGGTGCTGAGACGCTGCGTCGCCTGCGTGTTTGACGGGTGCTATGTAGATGCGAGTTATTGCTGTGGTTCTGGTCTCAACCACTTGTCATAAGATCCCAAAAGGGGACAGTGAGTCTGGTGAGGGGGAAAGTCTGTGCTTCGGTTAAGAGATTTCAAAGAGGTATCATCTGTCTTTTCTTTCCTGTTGGTGAAACCATGTGAATAGAGAAGGGAGTGTCTCCCAGGGGAGCTGAGTTCCTCTGGTGGGGCCAGTTGGGTGACATTAGTAATTGATGCAGTTTACTAAGCTGTAAACTCCATCCCGTTGCCCTTCTGCCTCGCCCCCTCCATTCCCTCCTTCAAGGCCCGTCTCAAGACCTTCCTCTTCGACTGCGCTTTTGGCCATCTTTTCACCACACCACTTACCTTGCCCTCCACCCCTCCTGATCCTAATCCCCAGCTCGGGTGCAAATCCTTGGCTGTCCAGTGCCTTGGAATGTCCTCCCGACTGTGTAAATGTTGGTGTAAGAGGTACCTGCAGCATCCGCAGTGTTAGAGATGAACATTCAAAGACAGAACAAGATATGTACCTTTTGAGGGGTTTAACTGGGCTTTGGTGAAGGAGGGAGGGAATGATAAGTGAGCAGAGACATGCCTGCGCTGCGACATGCTCTCAAAGTGATTGTGGCATAATAATTGTGCTGTAAAAATTTTGCTTTACTAATTGACATACTGTGCAAGTAATCGGCAATGGGGTGAAGGCAGCTCTCTAAGCTCCACAAACCCTAGAGAATGTACCCAGAGGATTCCCCTCCCGGGTGTTAATTACTGCCTGGTATTGCGGGAATGTGGTTGTACCCAAGAGGTTTCACCGGCACGGAAGCAACACCGAATAATATATAATAACATGTACAGCGAATGTGAGTTATGTACAGTCCTGCCATGCTCCTAGTACATAAACTGGCAAAATCAATGGGTTTTTGATCATTTATTACAACTCTCACAATGTGGGGAGTTGTTCGTGATAATAATAACATCCACTTGTTCCTCTCTCACCTGACGTAAAGTGAATGTCTCGAGGGTGTGATGGAGAATGACGGGGAGGAGGGGGTGATGGGGGTCGGAGGGTAAGTGAATGGTGAAGAGTACCCTCTTATATGTTTTAGAGATGAGGAGAATGGTCTAGTGATAAGTCTATTGAATGTAGCTTTCGTAGCACAGCTGAGGGTCAAACAGAACTAATAATAAGATGTGATAAGGCGCTATATCAAATGCAAGGATTATTGTTATTTTTAACTGTCCACTGACTGGGAGGTCAATGGAGTCCGTGTTGGGGCAGGGACACAAGGTGTTCGCTGGAATCGAGAGCAAGGTTAGCCTCAGGCTGTCTGTCTGGCAATCCGCTGGGGGAAGCTGTGGCTCCTCCAGGCCCTGGGGATGAGCAGGCTGTGGAGCGCTCCTGGAATCCGGGTTGGGAGGGGAGAAAGTGGGGGGAAAAAGGCTGATTATCAAGCAAGGATGTCCTCTTCCCTCTCCCGTACGCTTTACGGGAACACGTGGTGTTTGATCAGCTCCAGGTGAAACGTTCGTTAGATCGGGAGCCCGCTGAGAACCTATGTGCTTGCTGGCTTCACATGTAAACTGAGCGAAATGTTCCCCGGCTGTAAACCAGCTCCCTGCCATGCCTTTGTTTCCATCCAAACACAGGAACAAGTCACCAACTCGTGGCTTGTGCACCTTTGAGGCTTCGCCCTGTTAAATTGGTGCCTGGCTTTTCCACCACAGCAGTCAATGCTGGTATCATAGTCACTGATATCTCCTTCTGTCCTGAAAATGCCCCTTGTCTGTCCTTGTTCAGGTGGACATTAAGGATGCCATGGCACTATTCAAAAAGAGAGAGGACTTTCTGCATCCCAGTTTCCTGGCCAACAATCCCCCAGAAGTAATTGGTCATTCATTTGTCTCATGGCTGTTTGGGGGAAGTTGCTGTGCGCATATTGGCTGCTGCGTTTGGCCACAAAACGAACAGTCATTGTACTTTACAATAAATCTCGTGAAGCGCTTTGGGACGTGTGTGTTGAGGGGCTGGGGCGGGGCGGGTGGGATCGAAGGCACCTTGAGACTTGCCAGGTTGAAAATGTATCACTGATCTGAGTCCTTGATCTCAAGGCTTGATCAGCACTTTGTTGGAGGAAGGCGTTTGCCTGACGTGTACAAAAGTCTGCAGATCATGTGGCTGCACACACATTAAGCTAATTCATTTCATCAAAGCCTCGCCTGCTATTGCTTTGAGCCACAGATATTCCGCTCCTGAAGTGGTCACACACGTCGAGATTTACAGTGTGGTGCTCAAAAACCGAGCTGAGAAAGGGGAAAGGGTCAGGTTCCCCACGAAGAGTAATTCCACAAGCTTCTGTGGAATCCTAATTGATTCATGATAAGAAACAGCTTTGGTTCAGCCGAGGAGTCTTAGCACTTCATCACAGCAGAGCTAAGTTTTCAGGTACAGGTTGTTTCCTTCGATCTGTACTCAGCCCCCGTTCAAATATTCCAGACACTCAAACCACTTAGTGAGTAAGACGTGCCCCTTTCTTACACTCAAGAACTTTTTGATGCGGAGACAGGCCATTCAGCCCATCCTTGCGCTTGATACAGCGCCTTAGCACCTCATTCAGACGTCCCAAATTGCTCTACGGGACTTTACTGTAGTGACTGTGTGTTTTGTGGGCGAATGTGACAACCGATTTATCGGGTGGGTGGGTGGGAGGGGGAATTGTTAGCAAAGCGCCACCGGGGAGAGAGAAACTCCCTTCTCTATTTCCATTTGTGCCACAGGAATCATTTAAGGTCCAAGTCAGGTGAAAGAGAAACTCCTCCAGTGTCTTCGATAAAATCAGACACTCACTTTGTGACTTCATTGTGAGAGGCTGCTGTGGGCAAATTTGCTGCAGTTTTCCTGAACAATACACAGTCCCTGCACTTAACAGCAATTCCCTATGAAGCTCCTTGAGTTCTCTTGCTCCTTTGGATGTTTTAGCAAATGCCAGGGCGATTAATGTTTCCAACAGGGCCCGAGAGATCATGAAAGAGGTGCTGAGCGACGGCTGGCACGCAGGGATCAGAATCCCAGCCCAACACATTGTGTGCTGTCCTGTGTGTCTCCTTATATGCCATTTACAGAGGAAGGCATGAGGAAGGATAGAGAGCTGGGAGCCTGTGAAGTTGGGGGTTTGGGGTTCAGGGGGTTGGGGTTTTAGTCTTTGTGCTCTGCTGTCCCTCACTCCCTCCTTCCCTCACCTTGTTCAAGCATTACAAATTTCGCCCACAAAAATGCACAGTCTACGCTTTATAGAATATTCTGTGAAGCACTTTGAGACGTCTCGAAGACGTGATAAGGCGCTGTATCAAATGCAAGGATTATTAGTATTTATTATAAGGTCTATCTCAAAACCTACCTTTTTGACCTCCCTTTTGGTCATCTTTCCACCCACCACCGCACTGTTGGTTCCCACTCCATCCCCAGCTCGAGTGCCCTCAGACAGCACTCTTAAGCACTTGAGGACGTCCTCCCGACAAGAAAGACGCTGTATAAAATGTATTGTGATTTGTGTTGTTAGATTGTCCGATAAGTCCAAGAGGTGAAATTTACAAAGCAATCCTAAATCCCAAGCTCCCGTCTGGGATCGGTATGGAGTCTGAAGCGAAGCTGGAATAAAGCTGCAGTAAGTTGTCTGAAGTGGAACATTTTGCTGAACACTACAATTCTGTCTCCACTTAAAGCCTGAAACACACGAAACTAATTGGGCTCCGAAGCCCAATGGAAAGCCATTACAAGGTGAATTCCTTTCAAAGTGCAGCTTCAGTTTTCCAAATAAAATGCCTCGCTCTTATCAAGAATTCTCCACTTGGCTGGGCACTAATTGGTACAGGAGGCAACATGGGAGGAAAGTGATCATGCACTTCTTGGTCTTAAGGAGAATAACTTGTAAGATGGGTTACGGTACAATCTCTCTCACAGGACCAGGTGGTCTGCTAAAGCCCTTTGCGTTCTTGTTGAAAATGTATTGCTCACACACAACACACACGCACACCAAAACACACATTTGCTAACTCTGAAATCCTGGAGCGTAGAGCTTAGCGCACTCGCCTCATAAGCGAGAGGACCCGGGTCTGATTCCCAGATGGGCCAAAACCTTAGGCAACTTTCCTTATTCCGCACGCGTCTGTTTACCAATCAACTTTATAATATATTCTATGAAGCGCTTTGAGAAGTTTCAGCCACTTGATAAGGCACGATATCAAATGCAAGGATTATTATTATTGCTACTCTCACACACATGCACACCTCGGTGTTTATGAGGGAAGTGTGATGATAAGCGTGCAGGCTCTCTCTCCAGTGCTTGTTAGTGCTGGCTTTATATCACTTGCTTGGTACTGTCTTCCCATGTCAATAGGATTGATGTGAATTGCCCTGGAGCCCTGCTCCTAGCACCCACTTGAGTTGGCGATCTGGGGAGCAGCGTCTTAGCCTGCGCCATCCCAAACTAACACAGAAAATCCCAGTGTCTCCCACATGCCCTCAATCTCACCAACCCTTGACTGCAAAGGATTCAGTGCAACATTGTGACGGCAAAAAATATATGTGTTGTTTTGGTAGTTTATTTGAGGCACATTTATAAGGCAGCGGATGTGTTATAGAGTGAAAGAAGACACACATCCTGAAAAAATCTTCAATGGAATTACGTCTCAGAGCTCTTCAGGTGCTCTCCGTATGGGCATCTGCTGCTGAAAAGAAATGAAGAAGATAAGATTACCTTCGCTCTGATCCTCAGCAAAACTGGCAAATAAAGGGACTCACAGACCCAGGGGGTCAACGATGGCTGATCATCGATACCTCACCAGGTGAAACACAACATGTAGACTGTTTGTACCATAGAGCAGAGCTTACTCCCCCCCCCCCCTATCGTGTCAGTGCTGGTATTCCCCCACACTGGAGGGGCTGAATGGCCTCCCTCTGTGATTTAAATGGTTTGCTAGGTTTGAAGGGCGACAGACTCTAGGTCCCACAGCACAGTTGTTCATGGATTTTGCAGTAAATCCTGTGAAGCACAATCAGACATGTGCTTGACGTGAAAGGCGCTGCATCGAGGTGGGCAAAGCCGGGGGAGCTGAGGTTGACCAGACCTGACGTGCAGTGGAGCTGAGCTGCGCTGTGTGAGGCTGAGCGGCAGGAGATCCTGGCTTGGGATGCAGTCTGCACTGAATGTCCTGTTTTAGTCCTATCATTTTAATCCCTAAAATTAGATCTGGCAACAAGTGAAAAACAACATGAATCATAAGACTCTCTCTCTTTCTGGGCTCGAATCACCGATAATGAAATTGTTTTTCAGGCTTGTGCGGAAAGTCTGAAGAACGTTTTTTTATGTGAAAGAAAACACGGATCATTCTATACAGCCTGTGGTGAGCGGTTCCCGATCCCGCTGGGAAGCAGATCTGTCTGGGAAGCAGAACACTTCACTTTGACTTATCGTTGGTGGCAATATTCCTTGCAAAATAAAAGGAATAGCGATGATAGTTTGGTCACTCAGACCACAAATGTTTTTGGGACACTTCACAGCATATCCTGTGAAGCGCTTTGAGACGTCTTGAAGACGTGATGACGTATCTCAAGTGTAAGGATTATTATTATTATTGTTATCCTGATGCACCCACAGACAGCCTAACAACAGCCTGGCTCAGTCGATAATACTCTCCCCTCCGCCTCTACTTTGGGACCTGAGATCACAGCCTGGCTGACACTCCCATGGCAGTGTTGGATGGGGAGGGTTGGGGGAACATTAGACCAAGCCCCCGCCTGCCTGTTCCCGGTAAAGTTACCGTAACTTAATCTGAAACGAGGCGGGCGATTCTCTTGTTACCATGGCCAAACCCCACATCCTCCAATTTGCTCTCCAGTTCTCTCTCTCTCTCTCTCTCTTGCACTTTGAGCCGCGAAAGGAAGAGAGACTATAAATGAAGTCCCATGTATAAGCCCACGCCGAACCATCTACCAGGCTGCCCTGTTGTACTGAGGCGCATTCCGAACTGTAGCTGTGTTACACCAGCTGCTCGTCTTGCATTGCAGATGAACTCCATTCACTGCCCACTTTGTTGCTGCTCCCTGCTGCCAGCCCAGGGTTTTCCTGGTGCTTTCAGCCAGCGACAGACAGGAGGAGCCGCTAAACGTCAGGGAGAGAGGGTGAAGGGGACAGTACATGTGGGGGGAGAAGTGAAACCACTTACTCTGGGCTTGACACCGATGTACTCATTGCAGAATCCTCTGATCCTGAAGGCGCTGATCTCACCAGCTCTCATGATCACCACGTCGTCGGTCAGTGTGTTATACAGACAGACGGACGGGAGGTTCTCGTGCTTCAGGCTGAAAAACGCCATCACCCGAATGTTCGACTTCATGTCCGTGTCGACGTGGATGAAGATCATCTGAGGGGAGGGGGAGAGGGGCGCGGAGGGGGGCAAACAGGTAGTAAGAGGTGACAACGCAAACCCATAATGTCATTGCTTGCTGCACTGTGACACTAGGTACCAGAGTAGCTGGCATGTAAAACACACAGTTACTGCACTTTACAGTAAATCCTGCGAAGCACTTTGAGACGTGCGCCTCACGTGAAAGGCACTGTATCAAATGTAAGGATTATTATTATTATCTGACCTGGTCTGTCTCCATTTTGAACCCCGTTCTGTCTGTCTGTCTCTCTCTCTCTCACTGAACGCTTAAAAGCAAGATCGCCTCTCACCTCCCGGGTGGGAGATCACTTTTCTATTGTTTCTGATAGAGATGTTATGGTGCGAGCTACCCACCACACCGTGGGTCAAAATACCACAATAATAATAATTATAATAATAATAATTATTATTCTTGCTTTCCCATAGTTCCGTGTGATATGAAATTTGAAGATAAAAAGGCTAACACTGGGTAGAATTTTACACCTTTGGGGGAGGGGGGGGGGCATAAGTATAAGACAGCGTATAGGGAGAAGTGGGGAGGGGGAGAATTTAAGAGGAACTACTTCACGTGGAGAATGTGGAACTCGCTGCCCAAAGCGGTTGAGTTCAAGCAGATAGCAGCGTAGATCCACTTAAGAGGAAGCAAGATAGACACAAGAGGGAGAAGGGAATCGAATAGAAAGGTATAGAAAGGAGGGAGTAAGGAGTGGGGTGAAGACTCATGTGGGGTGGGTGTAGGCAAGGACTGGATGGTTTGAACAGCCTGTGTCTGTGCTGTAATAGTCTGTGTGGATCTACGTTGAAGAACTCACCGTTCCCCTGTAGTCGCGAGCAACAGTTGTGAAGATCTCCAGCAGTGTGGGGTACTCGGGCGCCGATTTATTCACTATCAGCAGAATGTGGACGGGAATGTGGGAGCCAAATATCTGAATGGCGTTCTGCGGCAGAAAACAAGGTAATGATATCGGCCGGCTTAGCCATGGGGGAGCTTGACGTGGATAGAGGGAGAGGTGACGGGGTAAGGAGAGGTTAGGGTTAGGGGTGGAGGGGGGCGGGGGTAGGGGTTGTTTTTCCATGAAAAACTGGCACTTACATGGTCGTTGTACTCAGTCACCAGGCGCATTTCATTGACGTTCACAAACTCAACCACTTTGGCCGCCGTCATCCCAGTGATCACTCCCAGTTCATAGTCAGCACGTTTTTCGTCATACTGCAAGGCAGAGCGGAGCAAGTGGGTTTGCACACGAGTAGACTCATAGAGTGCAAGAGATTCAACCTTCCTTTTCGACTGAGCTTACCCAAGGTCATCTTCACCCTCCCCCCAGCTTGGAGTCAGGCTCCGCCACTGTTAAGCTTTGAGATGCTGGGTGGAGGGTGCTATAAAAGTATGAGTTGTTGTTGAGGTGTGTGGGGAGCAGTTGTAGGAGAGGCTTTACTGGGAGGGCAATAAAACACCTGGAACGAGCTTACCAGGAGGGGTGGTTGAGGCACAGGTGTTGGACTTATTTACACAGCCTCTTGACTGTATTACTAGGGAAATTGACCGTTCTGAAAGAAGGGATCCAATGGGCCGAAGGGTCTTCCTTACCTGAAGCTCTCTCTTATGAGTTCAAGTCCTAACTGTTAGTGTGGTCCCAGCTGGACAAGCAGTGTGGAGCTTGCCAGACAGTACTTGAAATGACAAGCTGCTCGTGTTTTGTGAAGCGCTTTGAGACGTCCTCCTGATATAAAATTTTCCTGTACTATTTCAGGCATGTTAGGCTGGATTAGCTTCCTTTAGAGATCGGCGACCATTACACCCAGTGCCTGATCTAACTGAGATCTGGGTGTGAGATCAGTCAAGATCCTGCACAGTTAAACCTGCCCCGACAGTCACTTACCTTCTTGAAGATAGAAATGGTGCTTTCGGTCACATTGTATTTCTTCCAAACCACCTCACTGGGGGTGAGCCCGAAGGATAGCGCCCTGACGTTTTTTACCACTTCGTGGAAGATATCAGCCTCTTTGGATTTCAGATCCTGGCAGAGTAACAGGAAGAGCGGGGACAGGGGAGGGAGAGGGGGCGGAAATCAGGATGAAAAACAGACGGGGAGAGAGACCGATCCGGTTCCCGATTATAGAATCATACAGCACAAAAAGAGGCCATTCGGCCCATGGTGTCTCCGCCACCTCTGAAAAGAGCAACTCAATCCCACCGGCCCGCTGTCTCTCCATAGCCCTACAATCCTGTCCTCCCCAAATGCCCATCTACTTCTCTCTTAAAAGTTGTTATTGAATCGGCTTCCACTACCCTTTCAGGTAATGCATTGCAGATCTGAACAACTCACTGCGTGAAAACATTTTTCCTAACCTCCCCTCTGTTTATTTTAAGAACTGACTTAAATCGGTGTCCTCGGGTTACTGACCCGCCCGCCAATGGAAACAGTTTTTCCTAGTTCAACCTATCAAATCCTCTCATGATCTATTAAATCCCCTCTTAATCTTCTCTGCTCTAGGGAGAATAATCCCAGTCTCGCTAACCTCTCCTCATGGCTAAGGTCCCTCATTCCTGGCACCATCCTGGTAAACTTCTTTTGCACCCTCTCCAATGCCCTAACATCTTTCCTAAAGTGCGGTGCCCAGAACTGAACGCAGTCTCCAACTGAGTCCTCATCAGCATTTTATAAGTATTCAACATAACCTCCTGACTTTTGAATTCTATGCCCCTATTTATAAAGCCAAGTATCCCGGATGCTTTTTTGACAGCTTTATCTACCTGTCCGGCCACCTTCAGAGATTTGCTGATATGGGCCCCGGGTCTCTGTTCATTTGCCCCCTTTAAGATTGTACCATCAGCTTATATTGCCTCTCCTCATTCTTTCTACCAAAATGCAACACCTACCAAAATTAGTGGGTGTTGGGTTTGGTCAGAGTGAGCTGGGCACTCACCTGGTGTTCACGTGATTTCAGATTACTCAACACCAAGGATTTGGTCAAGTAACTTTATAACCACATCATACACACACCCTGTGGACCACTGATTATGGTATTTAGCATTTGGCTGGAATGGGGGCTACCAGAATTGCGGGGTGCTGAGGCCAGGACACTGGGACCAGTTTAAGAAACAGATGGACAGTGATCATGAGCAAGTGGTGCTATATGTGTGTGTATGTGTTGTGTGCTTATTGTATGTGTTGTGTGTGTCTGTTATGTGTGCTTTGTGTGTGTGTGTGTGTGTGTGTGTTTATATATGTCCAGGTGGAGGTAGCAGGTAAGTTAGAGAGAGAAATAAACCACAAACTTTGATGAATCCCATGATGGTCACATCAGACGAGTTGATAAACTCTTCTGTCGTCGCAATATCCTTCAGGACATTGACTGTCCTGGAATCGTCTGTAAGAGAATAGGAGTAAGACCATCTCTCTCCTTGTTGTTTTACAGATTCCGTTCCCTGTTTGAACATTCCACTATACACTGAGAGAATAACAGGGCCACTGGAAGCGGTTACCTGGAATCCAGAGCTAGAAACCCACCTTGATTGGTTTGCAGAGAGGTAAGCAGCTTCTGCTCGAGCCCTAACCTAAAATACTAGACTTTACAGTATATCCTGTGAAGCGCTTTGAGACGTCTCAACGACGTCATAAGGTGCTGTATCAAATGTAAGGATTATTATTATTATAACCATTGCTCTATGGGCAGGGATGTGTGTCTGAGCTATGGGTGGGAGGATGCTCTCAAGCGCTTATTTCATGCTGAGTGCTGCTGCCCACTAGGGAAACTCAACCTGCGCTTGTCGATCATCAAATGACCAACTATTGACGCTACTTCTCAGGCAAATAGTTAACGGGGTCTCCTGGGAGCTGAACTGGCTCCAAAGTGATTTTCCCAGCAACAAAATTAAGCCAACCCTCTGTGGCGATCTCACTAGTCCATTTCCTGAGCGGGACAGTTCACAGTTCTCCAGGGCACTGCCGATAACAGATTGGCCAGCCTGGCTTGTCGGCAGGAGTTTGAAGGGCAAGGATTTTTGCCACTTAGCACCTGTTAACCCTGCAAACCAAAGCCCCAATGGATAGGGTGGTCCTCGATGGACAAGCAGTGGGAAGGTTGCCAGGCAGAGCTCAAAACGGGACAAACGGTGCAGCTTTACCAGGTTATACTCCAGCCATTGCCTCACCTGCTGAGTGGGGTGGGGAGCGAGTTCCAGCTGAGATGTTATCAGACCTTGTGATAAATTCATATCACACAAGGGTTAAATGTAGCACTCACCGTGAAAAGATCATATCAGCCTCCATTGTTAGAGGGGTGAAGCCTGGGCTGCCAGACATGTCTACTCCCACAAACCATCAGCTGCCTTGTTTGTGCCTCAGACACAGACCGAATGCCACTCCACCAAATCCCCATTCAATGCACTGCACAGGACAATGTTAAAGATCTCTGTGGCGCGATTGGGAAGAGAGAAGGGAGTTTCTCTCTCGACAAGCCCCCCCCCCCCCTTACTGTTCTTCAGTACCCCTACCCCTAGGGGAGGATGGGTAGGGGGTGGGGGGGTGAGGTTCAGGGAAATGGCTGGAAGAATTGTTTTTGCCCTGCCTCACAGGCTTGTTAGCTCAAAACAATAATCCTTCTCACACGTGACACATCATCATTGGCGAAACTTCAGGTCTGGGAGATCGGGGGCAAGATTGTTCGAGAAGGGTGCACACAGAGCACTCGAGGCTTGGATTCTGAAGCCTTTTGATCATGAAGGGCGATTTTGAATCTTGGTTCTCAATAAGCAGCCTTATTTTATTCTCTGGGTCAGCCGAGTGCCTGACACACGGAAACCCATCACCGTTATCAGCCGAGTGCCTGACACACGGAAACCCATCACCGTTATCAGCCTGGTGTAAAGACATTAAACATCCCTCAAACCTATCGGAAAAGAAAAGGGAGTTTCTCTCTCCCTGTGTGTCCTGGCTGATGATTCCCCCCTCTGTCAGTCATTCAATCACAGTCATTCACTTCACGACTGTTTGCGGATATGTACTGTGCACAGAATCGACTGCTGTGTTCGCCTACAGAACACACAGTCACACAGCTTTACAGTCAAATTTCTCCTGACAATTATTATTATCAATAATAATAATTCTCATTCACGTTAAGTTACTGGAGAGTAACAGTTGCCTCTAGCGTTGTAGACAGTGTGTGTCTCTTTTCCTCTCGCTGTCTGTCTTACCTTTCTTGTGCTTGGGTTTACCGAAGAGTGGGTTCTTCATTCTCGTGTTTACCTCTCCGTTTTCGTCCACGTCTTGCACCTCAACTTCTTCCTGGGCTTGCACAAGGCTGAGGGTGAGGTGGAGCAGGAGGTAGAGGAGTACTCGACAGCTCAGCATTGTCAGCCTCTTGTTGGGAGGATTGCTGCCCCTGTGTGCTCCTGTGCTGGGAGTGCTGTGTGACTGAGCTGGGACACGGCATTGCTGGCACAGGTGGAGCTGTCACACCCCACCCGCCCCCTATGCTGAACCAGAATAAGACGTTGACTAACCTTCGACCTTCGGGAAGGCACCAGGTGACCTCCCTTTCCCTCAAGTCACCGTGAGAGTCTGTGAGAATGAGGCAGGTGGCCGTCACACTCACCTCAAAGCGATGCTCCACCCCCTCCTGGCTCTTTGTAATAATAATAATAATCTGTGCATTTGGTATAGCACCTTATCATGTCTTTGAGGTGTCCCAAAGCGCTTCCCGGTATACACTGGAAAATCGATTGACTGTGTATTTTGTGGGCGAACCGCGACAACCAATAGCACACAGCAGTGTCCCACAAACAGCATGGGTTGAATGACCAATTTATTAGTAGTAGTAGTATTATACTAACAACTTAGTAGTATTATACTAACACTAACTACTTACTGCTAAGTAAACAGAGGCGTGTGGAGTAAGGAAACTTGACCAACTTTTCGCCCTACCGGGAATCAAATCCAGGTCTTTCGCTTGTGAGGCGAGTGCTCTAACCACTGAACTACAGGAATCCAACGAGAAGTGAGGGTGGGGTGGGGTCGGGGGGTGGTAGGGCACTGCGGCTTGAAGGTTTGAAAGATAGAACTAGGATCTTGAGGTCATTCATTGAGGCAGCCTGAATGAATGAAGATATGGATATTCCCACCTCATGTTGGGTTAGTAGCCGTGAGAAAGGTTTCCTCAGAGAGCAAACTGAGTGTTGTAGGTTTTTCCAAAGAAGCAAATAGTTTCAGTAAAAAAAGATTCATTGATAACATCAACCGATCCAAGAGTTAATCCCTGTGCAATTGTATGGTATTAGCAGGTCGTCTCGAGCCGTTTCACAAAAAAAGCAGTCACTGTGTGAGATCTTATCAGCACCACAATATCAAAGGCACAGGGCTTGCTTGACTCTCTCTCTTTTTCTCTCTCTCTCTCCCTCATTCACAGATCAGTCTGCATGGCATCTATACAACGTGCACAAACCAGAATTGACAACATGGTGATACAACCTTCAGTTTGCTTTCCTAATGGTTCCTGCAATGCTGACCCCTTCATAGAATCATAAAATTGACCCATCAAGTCTGGCCTGACTCTGAGAGCAAGTGTCCATTCAGTCCCACTCTCCTGCCTTATCCCTATACTGTACTTTCTTCAAGCCTCTTACATACACCTGTCTGGCTGTTCTTGTGGATATTAAAAGATTCCCTGCGACACTGTTTCAGAAGAGAAAAGAGTTTCTCTCTCTCCCCCGGTATCCTGACTGACAAATCTCCCGGATTAAAGCTGGTCACTCACTCCATGGCTGTTTGTGTGGAACTTTGCTGCCGAGAGCCAAGGCTTGGGGGAGTGAGGTAACTGCTGGAGTTTAACCAGCTAAAAGCACAAGAGGTATCTTGCATTGAATGCAGGTTCAAGCCTGTGATCTCCCATTCCTGATTAGTGTGTGACCGAGACAGGGGAAGTAGGGTGAAGGCGAGGAAGGAGAAGGAGAGGCATTGGAACCTTTGAATGTGTAGGAGTCTATCTGTGCCAAGGTTATGTTGGCTTGGTGAGCTATCCCACACATCTATGGCCGTATCCTGTTGGCACAGGGAGGTCTCCCGCGATCGTATGGAGAGCACACCAACATCCTGATGAACACAACCTTCTGCTCTAAGCTGTGCAGTTCTCTCTCCATCAGTTAGGAACAGTGAGGTCCACGGGCCGTGTCTCAGACACAGAACAGAGTCATTCGAGTTATATATACCGGGACCGAGAATCAGGAGATAGAGTCACTGATGCTTGTCAGAATGTGCAACCGTATCAACAACAACAACAACTTGGATTTATATAACGCCCTCCATGCCGGACGGCGTCTCAGAGCTTCACAGTAATGGATCCCGGAATCGAGCTGGGGGGGGGGTTGGGGTGGGTGGGAAGGTGACCAAAGGTGCGGTTGAAAAGAAAGGTCTTCAGCAGAGACCTGCAAATGGGAAGGGAGGGAGCGAGACGAAGGGAGTGAGAAAGGCAGTTCCGGAGCCTCGGGGCGTAGTGGCTGAAGGCACCGCCGCCGAGGATGGAGCAGAGGACTCGGGGGACAAGGAGGAGGCATGTGTACGCCAACGGTACAGGTGTCAGCCTGGCCTGGCTCAGTCGCTAGCTCTCTTGTCCTTAGAGTCAGAAGGTTGTGGGTTCAAGCCCCACAGTCCAGGCTGACGTTGCAGCGCAGCATTGGGGCAAGTGCCACATTGTCAGAGGCGCCATCCTTGGGACGAGACTTTAACTGAGCTCCCCCGTCTGTGCCCTGTTCAGGCGAGCATTAACGATCCTGCAGATTTCAGTGAAGGGTTGGGGGAGAGAAGAAAGGACTGTTTGGAAAAGAAGTAGAGATTGAGATTCCCCCTCCCACCCCCAGCCCCAACACCAACCCCGCCCCGGGAGAAATGTAGGCACAGGTAGAGTTCAGCATCGTGTCCCCAACGTGCTGATCGCAAGCCCTGCTGGATAAAATGTCCAGCAAGGAGTGACTGGTTTACATAACCTGAGATTAAGTCCAGAATAGAGATGTCACCACTATAGAGATTCCCGAATTAATGCCATGATCTTATCAGCCTGTTAGAAGGGAACATGCTTGACCACAGCGGAATAAGAGCAAGGCAGCAAAGGCCTTCAACACCTGTAGAACAGCATCACTGTGATTAACAAGGGTGGGGGAATGGACCGTATAGAGATGTGCACCATTTTTAAATAGGATTAAAAAAGTAAACCCACAACAATACCTTTGGATCTGTTCTAGAAATGGCTGAATGGGAACTAAAAACTCTTTGGATCAAGGGAGATGAACATATGCTTTGCTCTTTTTTGACCCACTGAGTGACACAGAGAGAGAGAGAGAGAGAGAGAGCTGTTCTGAGTGTCTTGAAGGAGTTTATTGCAGAAACACGGCTGAACCCAAAAGGTGATTATCACCTCAATAATCTTCCCGCTAACCGGCCACCTCAGTGGCATCTCGGTCACGGGTTTATAAATTGTCCAGATGTATTTCTCAGGTTAGGCGAGGAGGTTAAGTGGAGCTGAGTAATTCTCTCAAAGATTCAGAGAGCCAAGAGCACAAGGATTGTCTGAGCAGCAAATGCCCTAAATTGGACCTTTAAAAGCTGGTTAAAGGCAAAGTCTGGCTAAATGTGTAAAGATCACAGCGCAGGCAATTGGACTTCAAATGACATGAGCGTGGGAGGGGGTGGGGGGGGGGAGCAGGTGACTGAATGGGATTAACTGTCTTTGAGTATAAAAGAAGAAGGAGCAGGACATCTGACAAATCTTTGATCGAAACCAGCCTGAAAGAGGAGTCCGTCTGATCTGCCTCACTTTATTGTAAGTAAGACCGATGCCTGTATTTACTGTCCTGTGTCAGAGAGTCGCAGGGTTTCTTCCCCAAATCATGATGTGATGTTCTGGGTATCTGTGACCCACACAACAATGACTCCCACAGTGAGAAAAATCCTAAAGAAATATAAGATTCAAGGTCTGGGTCAAGGACCTTTGGTCATCTCCACCCTCCTGGCTCCCACCTCCCCAGCTCAGGTGCCAATCCAGCATTTTGAGATATCCTCCCAACGTGAAAGACGCTCTATAAATGTAGATTGTGTTTGAGTGATCGTTTGTGTGAGACAAATACTGAGGCTTGTCTGTTGTAGCACTCTTGTCCGAAAGAATGCCACAGACAGATTATTAGTCTATCAGTAAATAACAATAGTAATCCTTGCCTTTGATGTAGTGCCTTATCAGATCGTTGAGGCGTCTCAAAGCTCTTCACAGAATACACTGTAAAGTGAATTGACTGTATATCTTTTGGGCTAAATGTCTATCCTGTAGACTGTATATCTAAGTGTCTCACTGGCTCATGCAGATCTTGTATCATAATAATCTTTACAATTGATACAGCGCCTTTCACGTCAGGAGGATATCTGAAACCATTTCACAGGGTCTCACTGTAAATCCCTTCAATTCACGCTGTTTGCGGGGACGTCAACGTGCGCAAATTGGCTGCTCTAAGCCACTACCCTGCGTGGAGGGCGCTATATAAGTGTTTGCCCACCAATTACACAGTCACCGCCACCGGCGTTCAAAGTGCTTCGGGGCATCTCGACGTGGGGAGTGGAGGGATACAGGAATCATCCATTATAATAACGATCCCTATGCCTATCCCTATCCCTGTGGCATTTGATACAGCGCCTCATCACATCTCCGAGACGTCTCAAAGCTCTTCACAGGATACACTGTGGTATTTTGTGGGTGAATTTTAAATTAAAAACAAGTATTATTTTCTGAACAGAATGAGAGATGACAGTGACCGTTCAGCCGCAAAGCTTCCGGAGACATTTAGTCCTCTTGGTTACATTTCCTGTTCACCAAATGAAAGAATTCTTGTGGCTTTTGTCCCGTGGCCAGGCCAGTAGTTGTGGATTTTCTGCTGGCGTTCAGGATAATCAGGAAGTCGGGAAGAGATAGGATAAACCTGTGACTCTGAGGCAGCCCAGAGGGGAGCTGAAGGGAGCTCAGAGAGAACTGCGTCAGATTAATTCAATCCGATTTACCGCAGTTGATTTTAGAAAGGACACTAAATGAAGCAACTCTGATGAGCTCCTTGGGCGACATCCTCCCGATGTGAAAAGCGCTAAGTAAATGTTCATTTGTACTGTGCTGCGTCGTGTTGTGAACTAAACTGCAGAGTACTAAACTGAACTTCAAAAACAAATGACATTTACACGGCGCCTTTCACGCCGGGAGGACGTCCCAAGATGCTGGACAGTCAAAGATTTGCACCCAATCTGGAGGTTGGGATCAGGAGGGGTGGAGGGAAATGAACAGATTTCAAGCAAGTGGGACACAATAACTACACGTTCCAGACGTGAATCCTGTAACCCAGTGAGGACATCAATCTGAGATGTACAAAGTATATCCCTTGGACTGTTGTCCATGTGCGGGTTTAATTGTAATTTAATAGATGGCAGGCTTTAGCAGAGAAAATCTCGTTACAGTATTAGTCCTTTCCCAGATGTTCCCTGTCAGCTTACAGGGAAGCTGCTTACTTGAGACAGATTTGTATGTCCTGATCTTTAAGCACTGTTGTACATGTTTGTTTTGGTCAGCCTGGTGTCTGACACATGCAAAAACCCATCACCGTAATCAGCCGTGTGTCTGACATACACAGAAACCCTATCCCTTGCTTAACTATCTAAACAGGATTGGAACTTCCATGTATCCCACTTACACATGTGATTTAAGTTGTACATAGGGAGTCCAGTGAAGCAGAGTTAAGCACAGGACTCACAGTGATTCAGTTCACATAAATAATAATAATCCTTACATTTCATGCAGAGCCTTTCCCTCTCGGGAGGACATCTCAAAGCACTTCACAGGATATACTATAAAGTGTACTGACTGTGCTTTGTGGGCAAACACTGCAGCTTAATTGTTCACAGCGACGTCCCTACCAACAGCCGTGAAGTGAGTGACCGATTTTATTTGGGGGGATTGTGGCCTAAACCCTCAGAGAGGATCTTTAATGTCTGGCTGATCAGGACGCAGACAGGGAGCTCATTTTAACGTCTTATTCAAAGGGCAGTGTCTCTGACAATGCGGCCCCCCACCTCTCCCAAAGCGCTGGAGTGTAATGACTGCGGGTTTCGTAGGCAGACAAGGCAGACCAATTCTGTGCACGGTCACAACCGTATTGGTAGATGTGTTGATTAGCTGTTTGTAACTATGAATGTTCCTCTTTCAGTGGCTTCTGGTGGAAGATTCCCAGCCCTGACCTGACCACCTCTCCAGGGTCAAGATGAACACAACACTCACACCAACCAAAGTATCTGGTGGGGCCACCTCACCCAGGAAGGGACCCCCAAAGTTCAAGCAAAGGGCCACACGTCAGTTCAAGAGCAAACCCCCAAAGGCAGGCGTTAAGGGGTAAGGACCCACGATTCACCCCTTTCAGCAGTTAGAGACACTACACCCAGCAAGAAAGGCTCTGGGGAAATAGAAGTTGTCGTGACATCATTATAACAGTAATGATCCTTGCATTTGGACACAGTGGCTTATCACGTCACCGAGTTGTCTCAAAGCGCTTCACAGGATTTTACTGGAAAGTGCAGTGACCTTGCGTTTTGTGGGGGAACGCGGAAGCTCATTTTCGCACAGCGTCGTCCCTGAAAACAACTCGGGTGAAGCGAGCGAGTGCTTTTTTATTTATATATTTATTTGAGTGGCTGAGATGATTTATGTGTGTGAAGTATATAGCTATTGCCACTGGTAGTGGAGAGTGACGAGAGAGGGGGCATAGTTATATTTCTGACTCGGTTATATTCTGATTGTATTATGGTTGTGGTCACCCTGTAAACTAATTCACTCTTATGTTACCCCCTCCCTCCCCACCCCCCAGGTTTGGAGATGATATTCCTGGAATGGAGGGGCTTGGCACAGGTAGGTAACAGATATTCACAGCTCTCAAGTGAAGAACTGACTGTCTGTTTGACAGCAAACTGACTGTTGCCAACAGCTATGAAGTGAGTGAGTGGGTGATTGAGCGAGTGAGCACGGGAGAGAGGGAAGGAGGGAGGGAAAGAGGGAAGGAGGGAGGGAGGGAGAGAAGGAGGGAGGGAGGGAGAGAGGTTTAACTTCTCTCCTGAGAGTTCTACAAAGTAGCTGATGGCTGATAAAAGTTTGGAAGCAGAGCGGGCACTGTAAACCTAATTCTCCATCTCTTTTTTGCTGTGCAGATATCACTGTTATCTGCCCCTGGGAGGCATTCAACCACCTGGAACTACATGAACTGGCTCAGTACGGAATAGTCTGAGACAGCCCGAGACACAGGCCTGTATCTCAGCAACTGGCATCTACCATAGTGTAAGCGACTAGGGCTCGATTACTGGTAAAACCACTTGTGCTGTTACGTTTCAGTCACCACTGGGTCACAGTGATAGTGTATCAGCTTTCAACAAGACAGGAGCCTCTCCACTGTTAACTTAATTCTAGAAACTAAATATTGTAACATCCTTTCACATTTAACATCCTTAAAGAATGTTTTATTTGTGGTTGTTTGCGGTCTTTTATCTTTGTCCCTTTTCCCCCCATCACTACAAATTACTTTTACTTCTCATTATCCTGGTTTACATCTTCCTTCCTTGTCTCGATTGTTTTTATTCCTCTCTGACTGTTGCTGTTTACGTTTTTCTTAACGTATGCCTCCTCGCTTTCTCTCTCTCTCTCACACTCTCTTCACGTCGCTTTTCGGACCTCATCGTCCCTCTTTCCCTCTTCAATCTCTTCTGCTCTCACTCCCCCATTTGTGTCTCCGTGCAAGACAAAAACTTATTATTTTTGAAACCTGCGTATCACATTTTAAACTCTTCCCTTTCACCATCCTCGCTCCCTCCCTCGCCTCCTTCAAAGCCCGTCTCAAGACCCTCCTGTACAACTGTTCCTTCGGTCACCCTCCTACCCCTACCCTCCGCCCCTCCTGATCCCAACCCCCAGCTCAGGTCCAAATCCCCGTCTGTCCAGCGCCTTGGGACGTTCTCCCGACGTGAGAGACGCTGTGTAACTGTCATGTGTTATTGTTGTTTTATTTAACTGTGTAAATGTCATTCGTTGTTGTGGTCTATCTGCCTCCTCGAATCCTTGCAAGAAATCTCTTCATCAAATCACCTTCTCTCTACGGATTGCTTGTTCTCAGTGAGATCGCCGCAGACACAAACCACCGAGTACCAGGCCGGCTACTGCTGTGTTGTGACCGGTCTGCCTGGTCGGTGCACTAGAGAAATGTAGCTGTTGGTCTCATTGAGACTAGTTGTATATTTCCCCGCCTCCCGGCTTGTTAGCAGTAACAGCTCTTGTCTCCGGTCGCGCTCTCTGGCTAATCCTGTGCTCATGGGATTAGCGAGTATTAAAAATCGAGATGATCTGTGACTCCCATCGAGTTATTGTTTACTTGGTGATAAGACACGTTACTGCTATCATTATTATTATTATTTTGTGCGTAATCGGCTGCCGTGTTTTGCCCACAGAATACACAGTCGCACCACTTTATAGAGTATCCTGTGAAGCGCTTTGAGACGTCAAAACCACGAGATAAAGCACTGTATCAAATGCAAGGCTTATTTTATTATTAATGTGCTCTGCAAAGTGCCCAGTTCGTTCCCTGCGTTGTTCTGCCACAGAGATAGACTCTCAGGCTGTCAGATAGGAAATTTATTGGAACAGTTACAGTAATAAACTAAGGATTAACTTTGTGGATGGAGGCAGAAGGAGGGAGGGAGAAAGGGAGGGCGATGGAGGGATGTAGAGAGGGAGGGAGAGAGTGAGAGGGAGATGGAGAGAGAGAGAGAGAGAGAGGGACAGGGAGGGAGGGTGGTGTTGGGAGGGTGATCTCACACGTGCCCCATCTTCACCCAGTTGATCTTCTTCTTGATGGCACCACAGTCCAGCGTCAGCTGTGCGTGTTTGCGCTTCAGTGCCTCCAGGCTGTAGCACAGCTCCTCCACAATGTCCACATTGTTCTCAAAGTCGCGCAGTAGCACCCTGTTACACAGCAGCCCACACTTCTGCTTCAGCTTGATATTGTCGGCCCGCAGCCCGTCCTTCACATGTTTGATCTTGGTCAACACGTCACGTTTCTGTGCGATTCAACAACAACAAACAACAAGGACGACGACGATAACGCAACCATAAATAACAGCACGTTACAGTTACACGGCGCCTTTCACAGCAGGAGGGCGTCCAACATTCGTTGCACTGTCAGGGATTCGGACCCGAGCTGGGGGTTGGGATCAGGAGGTTGTGGAGGGCAGGGCAGGGAGGGTGGGGGGTTAGGAGGCTGACCGAAGGCGCAATCAAAGAGGAGGGTCTTGATCCGGGCTGTGAAGGAGGCAAGGGAGGGAGGGGGCAAGTCGGAGGGACTGTGGGATGGAGTTTCAGAGGGTGGGGGCAGAGAGGCTGAAGGACGGTGCCTCCGACGAAGACAATGCGTCAGTCAGCCTAGACTAGTGGGTTCACAGAACCAGTGTGGGGGGGCTTGATCTTTCAGTCTCAGAGGCAAGAGCAACATCCACAAGCTGATACCTAACACCCCCCCCCCCACCCCTCCCCCCCCACACCTCCCGTACCTGGGCAACGATGCTTTCGATGTCCATGAGCTGAGCTTTCATGGCAGCATTCTCGCCCTGCACCCACTCCAGCTTCTCCTTCAGGTGGGTGATGATCAGAACCGTGTCAGTGACCTTACTTATCAGCTTCTGCATCTCCTGAAACAGCAGCGAGCGGGAGGTCAGCGGTGGATCCTGTGAAGCGCTTTGAGACGTCTCGAAGACGCGATAAGGCGCTATATCAAGAGCAAGGATTATTATTATTATTTACACACAGTGCCCTGTCGCCACCTTCTCTCAAGTCAATGGTACTGCAGCACAAACCTTCCACCATCGATTGGGAGGCATGAGATTGAAAGATAACACTTGTATTTGACGTGGCGCCTTTCAAGTCTCACAGATTCACTGTGAAATGCAGTGACTGTGTATTTTGTGGGCGAACGCTGCTGCCAATTTGCCCACGAACAGCAGTGACGGATTGTATCCGGGGGGGGGGGATTGTCGGCCAGGGTCACTGTGAGAGAGAGAGAAAGAAATTCGGGACAAGTTTCTTGTCCCATTTATCCCATCCTCTTGTGATCTCACAGCCTTCAAGATCTTTTCAACAGCATTTTCACTCTCCTTCCTTCCTCTACCCGTAACCGCCCCCGCCCCCCCTTCCGCCCCCACCCCCCCACCTCAAAAGCTCGGGCTACCAGTGAGCTGAGGGAAGCGCTTTGAGACGTCCTCCCGACATGAACGTCAGTCGCTGTGTGAGTTTAGATCGCCATCAGTCAGACCTCGTTGCGCTCCTCGATCTTCGCGCTGCACGTCTTGTTCTCGATTTTCTGCTGCTCAAAGTCGATGAGGTTCAGTCCGTCTGCCAACTCCTCCTTGGTCTTCAGCAAATCCTCGTAGGCCTTGACCTTGTTCTTCAGCTTGATGGTCTTCAACCGTACCAGCCGCAACTCGTGTTCCTTCCGCTCCTCGATTCTCTGAAGCGTGTCCAGTTCCTGCACAGACACAATCAGAGACTCAAGCCACAGCCCGTGGGGCCCCGTCGCTCACCCTCTCGCCTCCAAGTCAGAAGGTTGTGGGTTCAAGCTCCCCCCAAACCCCCCCCCCCCCCACTCCGCCAGCCCCCACATCGGGACTTGGAACTCATACAGTCCAGGTTGACGTGCAGCTGGAGAGATTGAGACGGGGTGAGATTCCTAACCCTAAGCGCTCTGATACACTACCCTGCGTGGAGGGGACTATATAAGTGCAAACTGTTGTTCTCGGGTGCTGTGGGAATGAGGCAGGGAGTTTCGGGGCGTGGTGGCTGATGGCACAACTGACAATGGTGGAGCGGAAGGGGTCAGGGGGACCCGCAGAAAGGTAGAGAAGTGGATGGGAGAAAAAAATTCCAGTTGCGAAAAAAAAGGGAGGGTATCAATTAGCAACATGCACGTTACCCCGAGGGTGTTCTTCTTTCCCAGCTGTTTGTGGATTGAATGCACAATCACTAACTTCTTCTTGGACATGAAGGCCTGCCAGGCCTGATTGGCTAACTCCTGTTTCTGCAGGCAATCTGTCTTCAGTTCCTTAATCTGTGTCTGGTAATCTTCAGACTCAGCTTGAAACTTTTTCTGGATATCCCCCAGCGAGCCTGGCAATAGGCAACACACAGATAGTAATAACAACAGTAATAATAATCCTTGCATTTGATACAGCGCCTTATCACGTCGCTGAGATGACTCAAAGCGCTTCACAGGTTACACTGTAAAGTAAATTGACTGTATATTTTGTTGGTGAAACGCGGCAGCCAATTGCGCACAGCGGTGTCCCTCAAACAGTCGTGGATTGAGTGACCAGATTTTTTTTCTGGATAGATTATTATCCATGGAAAGTGATCCACCAGTCAACTAACAACTGGATTCCTACTTGCCGCTGGGTAAACAGGCGTAAGGAAACTTGCCTGAAGGTTGTGCCCAGATCCGTCCAGGAATGGAACCCGGATCCTCTCACTGGCGAGACGAATGCTCTAACCGCTGCGCTGCGGGGCTCCAGAAGTGAGACAGTAAGATGTACAAGACGCGCTTTGAGACACCCCGACGAAGCATTCCGGGGCGCTACCCCGCATGAAGGGCGCTGTATAAACGCAAGTTGTTGTTGTGGTGGAGGTGATAAGCAGTTGCGATCTCAGGGGTCCACACTTACTCATATATTTCATGTAGCGCTCCTGCTGGTCTGAGAGAACTTTCTCTAAGTCAATCCGGGTTTCGTCACCCTTCCTCCTGCGGTAATATTCGCTCAGCTTGCTCTGCAGTTTGTTATTTTGGTTTCTCAACTTTTCCCTCTCTTCAACTAACACCTGAATCGCAGAACACCAGCGTTGTCAAGCTTGTCCACTGTAACAAGTACTCCTGTTTGACGCAGCGCCTTTCACGGCAGGAGGACGTCTCAAGCAAAGCGTTTGCAACGCGTGCTGTGACGTGCTGTGGCTGTGTGTTTTGTGCCGCAGCAGGAAAAGCAGCAGTGCGCTGGGAAGGAGCGGAGGGAGCGCTGGGAATATCTCAGGCACGTTTAGACGAAGGAAGATTTTAAAGAATGATAATAATTACCTGATATTCCGCGAGCAGGTTGGCGTGACGGATTTCTTTAGCTGCCTCATCCTCAACCATATCGACTAGGCTTCCTAAAGCAACATAACAATAGTTTTACAGACATTGTACCATCATCTCCCCAGCGACCTGCTGTTCCTGACGAGAGCAACCGCGTGGGTTTACTTACATAGTCTGTCCCAACATGAGAGACAGCGCCTTGGAGCGCTGCAGGGAGGTGGTGGTGGTGGGGTGACCCTAGGCTGGTCGAACACCAAGGGATTTTAAGGTGGAATTTAATGACAGATAGAGAGTGTGCTGGAAAGGAACATGGGAGGCGGGGGAGGGGAGCCAATCGGAGGGATAGAGGAAGAGGAGGAGGAATAGGGTGGCGAGAAAGAGCGATGAGGGGGAAGGCAAGACGGAGGGATGAGGGGCTGTCCTGTGTCACTGGCCGCACTCTGAACATTAAAGGTTTCGCCCACAAATATACAGTCAATTCACTTTACAGCATATTCTGTGAAGCGCTTTGAGACGTCAAGAAGACGTGAAAAGCGCTATATCAAATGCGCGGATTGTTATTATTATGTTATATTAATCTAATACTGGGGATATGTTGACATAGTTCTGAACGTTACACGCCCCCACACATACATGATTGCAGATGTGCCCACTGTGAGTTCGATGGCCCAGTCCTTTCGATGTCACTATCACGTCACTGATACCTTTGTCTGGGGTTCCTGGAACCAGCATGGGAATCTCTTCCATGATGCCCTCCATCTCGTCCACCTTCAGGTCCTCCCCAATCAGAATGAGTGCTTCCATACTCCCCACATCAAATGTTTCAAACGTTGGCATCGATAGCATCTCTTCCTGGTCAGTGTGAGAAGGCTAATGGGACAGAAACACAGAGAGAGAGAGAGAGAGAGGAAGGGAGGGGCACAGACATAGACCAAGAGGGAAACAGACAGATAGGGGGACAGACAGAGAGAGGCAGAGAGGAACAGAGAGAGAGAGAAGGGGGTAACAAAGGCAAATATGTGGTACATGTGATAACAGAGACTCGCCTACTAGACAAACACAGCACCAAAACAGACCCCTCCTCATCCCCTCTCCCTATCCCACCTTTCTGCTCCTCCATCTCTTAAGTGTCATTGATGTTGTCTCCTGGGAGAGGAGCTGAGGGGAGAAGTGAACAGTGGTCCATACCCCCAGCGTGAGTTAGAGTCATCAGGTGTGGTGGGGGATAAAGACCCCAAATTATTCCCTGTGTCAAGTCTGGGTTGGTCAGAGACACACAAGAGTTCTCTCCACAAATCACTCAAAAAGTCACAATCTGCTGTACTCACTTCATCCCCGGTCTCAGCCGTCTGTGCCTCTTCCACCGCTCCTTTGGTTTGAAAGAGAAAAAAAGTCAGTGTTACTGAGCTTTAAACCTCAACTTAACTTCATGTTTGCAATGTTAGATTCGATTAGAGAGACAAGAAAAAGATAAACTACAGTTTTTTGTGTTTGTGGGGGGGGGTGGGGGGGAGGGTTGGGGGGAACAAAAAATCCTCCTCCCCCCACTTCCCTTCCAGCTCAGTACCCAGACACTTCCCCCCCAAACCCCCACACTCCCACCCTACACACAGACACACACACTGGCTTTTACACACTCGCTCTCACACAGAAACAGTCACATACACTCACTCAAACAAGTGGCCATTGTTTTTTCTTGGGGAGGATTCCCAGGCAGAGCAAAACCTTAGGCAAGTTTCCTTACTCCACAGGGGTTATAACATCTCCCCACTCGAAAATGGTCATGACTGTTTGTGGGGGCGCTGCTTGTGCGCAATTGACTGCCACGTGTCTCCCACAAAATATCCAGTCAAATCACTTTACATATTGTGAAGCGCTTTGCGACCCCTCGACAGCGTGATAAGGCGCTGTAGCAAATGCAATGGTCATTATCATTGAGTGATAAGGTCCTGCAGAAATATTGAAAAGTAGTTGACCTTAAACTAGAAGTTCTTTTTTTGGAAGAGAGGTGGGAAAATTGTTATTATTATTACCTGTGATTGTGACTGAAGGGGCCGACTCCTTGGGTGACAATTTGCTCATTTCTGCGTCGATCTCGTCGACTTCCTTCTTCTCCTTCGCTTCTTCGGGTACTTCTTGAGCATCGGTTGGGGGAGGTTCTGTCCCGGTATCTTCAGGGACATCGTGAGGGACTTCTTGAGGTTCACCCTGAGCGGTTCTAGAGCAACATCCTGAGGAGTTTCTTGAGCAATATCCTGAGCAGGTTCTTCAGCAATATCCTGAGGAGCCTCTTGAGGTGCCTCTTGAGGAGCCTCTTGAGGAGCAGATTCTTGCAAAGTTTCTTGAGGGGATTCAGGTTGCTCCTGTTTCCCTTCAGCCTGGACTCCGTCCTGTTCCTCTCCGGTTGTTTCTGGAGATCCAACTGTCACTGGAGCTAGGCAGACAAATGGAGCAGTTACTTTCTCTCGTGTGGGGCTCACAACTACCTGAATACCTCTGCCACCGTGTGGGTCAAACACTGCCATCTGGTCACACCATTGTCAAGGCTCAGTCACTAGCACTCTCGCCTCTGGGGCAGACATTTGTGGGTTTAAGCCCCCATGTTTGGGGACTTTGAGCTCACAGTCTGGGCTGACTCTCAGCATCGTGCGTGAGGGGCACTGTGTAAATGCAAGTTTTTGTTGTCTGTGTGAACCTTTGTGAAGTGCAGTCCAGAGTCAAAATGGCCAACGGTCTGAAAGTTAGGAATCCCCTGTGCCTCACTTCCAGACTTTCCTCTCCTCTCTGAGATACATTGCTACATTCACACATTCCTCTCCTTCCTCCCATCACCTTGTTCGTCCGGCACAGCTGCTCCCTCCGCCTCCACCTTCACTTCCGCCTCCACCTTCACTTCCGCCTCCACCTCTTCCTCCCTCGGCTGTTCGGAGGCCTCCTCGGGAGACTTTGGTATTCCCTCATCAGCATCTTGGGTCACATTTGGTTCAGTGCTGTCTGCTGTGAAGAAAAATGTCTTTGTTAATCTCCCCTCCCCTCGGGCACTGGTCAGAGGGCCACATGGAGAACAAGCCCCTCCAGGCTGTGCTCCCCTCTCGATGCAAAGGCCTTTCTGGACACCACACGCCATGTTTTACTGCGCCAGTTATCGCCAGTTTACAGTTGCACAAAGCTCCTGCTTATCCCTCCCGCCCTCCTCTCCACGCCCGAAGCTTTGGCACTCTCTCCTTCCCCTCATTTAGATCACGACTGAAGACCTTTCTCATCGACCGGGCGTACGGTCACCTCCTCCCTACCACCGGCTCGCCGTCAGTCTCCGCCCCACCCCCGTTAAGCTCTCCGAGCCTCTGCCCTGCGTGAGGGCACTGTATAAATGCAAGTTGTTGTTGATAACAATGTCCGGTGAGGTGTAATGGCCCGCGGTTGCCACAGGGTGGCGCCACAAACTCACGGCTGGAATGTCCGAGCCGGACGAACACCGGGAATTTTTACCGGACAGCGCTCTCAATGGCCGAGCTGTGTGGTGTGGCTTTAGCCGGTTAGACTCCAGCAGGTACCCCCAACGCACACTCCGGGCTCCCCCCCACCCAAGCCTCGGCTCTCGTCAACCTGCGCCTAATACTTTCAGGAATTAGGTGAGCGGGTGGTGGTGGTGGGGGGGGGGGGTTCCTCCGGAGAGAGAGAGCGTATTCCATTCCAACAATCTGTCTCTGGGATTTCCGCGTGTAGGTGGGAGGCCGGGAATTCTCAGCCTGGTTTGGAGACTCTTGAGGCATCAGCGATGGGTTTCCGCGCGGCTGCGGCTGACCCCAACCCCCCCCCCCCCCAAAAAAAACAGACGCAGACGGTCACTCACGATTCTCGGAGGGTTTGGAAAGACCGGACTGCGACACCTAATAAGACATAAAGGCAGAATGACACTGACCGCTCCCTCCGCCACGCACCGTCCTGCTTCACGTCCCCCTCCCCATCCGCCCCACCACCGGCGGGGCAGCCTGTCAGCCATCCCAACCCGGGCTCTGGAGCTCCATCCCAGAGTCCCTCCGACTCCCCCCCCCCCCCCCCCCCCCCTCCGCTCCCCCCACTATCACAGCCCCTTTAAGACTTATCCCCGTCTGACCCTCAGTCATCATTTCCTCCCTCTCCCCCCGTAGAGTGCGTGTGTGTCACAGACAGACAGAGACAGACAGTGAGACAGAAGTTGGGACATTCACCTTCTTCTTCTTCGCCATCTTGTTGTCCTCGTTACCATGGAGTCTGTGCTGCTCCCGTCACCGTGTTCCACCACTCCAGTTAAAGGGCCATTCCCCTTTCTGCAGACAACCTCCCCCCTCCCCTCCTCACGGCAGTCGGGTTACCTTTGTATTTAAAGTCCCCCTCACCCCCCCCCCCACCCCTCCCCGCGCCCCCACCTTACTGCAGGCAGGTACTTTGAATTTATTATTTATTATTACTAATTAAATGATCGCTTTCCAGGGGTAATCCCTCCAAATTAATAATCCGGTCACTCAAATCCACGGCTGTTTGTGGGGAACGCTGCTGTGCGCAATGGGCTGCCGCGTTTCACCCACAAAATACAGTTGATTCACTTTACAGTATAGTCTGTGAAACATTTTGAGACGTCGCAAAGATGTGATAAGGCGCTCTTATCAAATGCCAGGATTATTATTATTATTATTATTATTAACAACCGGGTACCTACTTATTATTAGGTAAACAGAGGCACGTGGAGTGTGTGCCCTGTGACAGTTACGTTTGACTTGGAGCGAAGTGAGGGTTCATTTACATTTACATTACATAAATTTTCTCCAATTTTTTTTTACAGAATCCATTTATGTGGTTTCGTTGCTACAAACAGACCTCAGCAAACATTGATCGCAAGATTTTCTCATCTCACCCGGCAAAGGTCAACAATGAAGGTAAACTAACTTACAATCATGGGAATTAATTACAAGACACAAACGCATGTAAAAAGCACAACAGTATTTTATTAACATGGACAATGCAAATCATTATAACGGGTTTTCAAATGATTATAAGACCGGTACTAAAATTTACTAGTTACTGATCCAGTCTGTTGAGGCCAATGGATCTATTGATTGATGCAGAATATTACTCAAATCCCGAACACTTTTCCCTCTCTCTTTCTCCACAAAATGACGACTTTGTTTTAAAATAAAGAGGGCTATATAGTGTGCAACTCCCAACGAACGTGTCCAAGGTTGTGGAAACTCGAAGATGAAGAGAGAGTGCAGCAGGAGGGGGGGAGGGAGGGTGGGGGAGGGGGGGGGAAAGGAGGGGAAGGATTGGTCTGGTCTCAGATACACTTTTTGTCCACGCCAGCTCAGTGCACAAGTGCTGCCACCCGAGTGCGGGTCAGTCCACTGTGTACTGAGAACTGGGTTTGAAAGGAACACGGGACAAACACAGGAGCGGACAAGTGTGTAAATCTCAGAACACCGAGCCACAGCGGGAGGTCAGAGACGAGCAGTGGGCCGGTTACAAGAGCCCCTCCATCTCCTTCATAAAACTCTCGTAAATATCGTCCTTGGTTTGGATGGAGACGGGGGGAGGTTTGGACACGGGTTTCAGGGGGACGACCATCTCCTCTTCTCCCTTCTTGACCGGTGCCTGTCCCTTGCTCTCCCGCTTGACCCTCAGGGCGGTGGGCACAAAGCGGGTGATCTCGGCTTTGGGGTTGGTGATCTGGGGCTTGGCGCTGATGGTGGCCGTGGCTTTCTTCTCGATGGTGGCCACGTGCTCGTCCAGCTTTGGCCGCTGGATCAGACTGGGGGGCGCACTGAGCACGCCCGGGTTTGGTATGGGGGCGGGGGGGAACAGCCCCGGGGGGGCCGGGCCCAACGGAGGTGGCGGCCGCATCATACCAGGCCGAGGTGGGGGGATACCTACAGGGAGAGAGAAGGGTCATTTCAGAGAAGGGGGATTGTAGAACACTGATCGGGTGGGAGAGAGAGAGAGAGACACACACACACACACGCAGTCACAGAGAGAGAGAGACACACATAGAGACAGACAGACCGACGGGAGATGGAGACAGAGAGAAGAGAGGAAAGAAAAAGAAAGAGAAACCGATAGACAGGATAAAGGAAGAGACTGACAACCAATAAGCCTGATAGCAGAGCTGGGATCTTACCTGGGGGTGCTGGGGGTGGGAGCCTGGGTGGTGGGCCGCGAGGTGGGGGGCCTGGGGGAAGGCCTGGTGGGGGTCCGGGTGGGGGTCCGGGGGGGCGGCCAGGTGGGGGGCCGGGAGGGAGGAGCCGGGGCATTGGCCCCCTGATCCCAGGCATTCCTGGTGGCCGGATGAAGGGAGGAGCACCTGTAACACACACACACACACACACACACACACAGTTACATCAGTTTAGAGAGAAGCAAACATCACATAATACAACCAACACCACAGGCGACAGAATAATAATCCTCACATTTGATACAGCGCCGTATCCTGTCTTCGAGACGTCTCAAAGAGCTTCACAGGATACACGTCACAGAAGATATCACGCGTGAAGGGCACTGTATAAATTAATGTTATGGTGTGTGTATGGGGGGGTGGGGGGGAAGGATCTGGGTCTGATGGTGGAACCTACACAGTATTCTGTTCGGAGTTGCTAACCTGGTGGTGGTCCGGGGGGCAGACCGGACGGGGGTCCTGGAGGTCTCAGTGGAGGAGCGGGTGGGGGTCCCAGTGGTGGGGGGCCGGACATCGGTGGTACTTGCATCGGGCCCCGAGGTGGCATCTGGGTTGGCGGGGGCATCAGGATGCCATCCGGCCGCGACTCCTCCCCCCGCCGTTTCATTTCGTCCCCGTCCATCTTTCCATCATCCCCCTCTTGATTGCCATCTTCCTCCTCATCCTCCTCCTCCTCAGGGATCTCCTGTCCTGTAGGGAGACAAGTCGGTTTGTGTTATTCCCTAACACAGGATGTCCTTAATAATAAGAATAATTATCCTTGCATTTAATACAGTGCTTTACCACGTCATCGAGACATCTCACAGTGCTTCAAAGGATTTATTGGAATGTGTAGTGACTGTGTATTTTGTGGGCGAGCTGGGCAGGGAGTTTGCACACAGCCGCATCCCCACAAACAGCTGCAGAGGGAATGAGTGATTGTATCGGTGGGATTGTGTTGTGCAGACAGGAAGCAGGAGAGAACTGCCTTCTCTTTACCAACAGCGCCTTTTAATGGGATCTTTTAATGTCCCCCGAACAGTACAGACAGGAACTTGGTGCTTGCGCTGTATTGGAGCATCAGTCTGGGCTGTGAGTTCAAAGTCCCAACAATCCTCTGACCGACTGAGCCACAGGCCGACACCTTAGCCAATGTCCTTCAGATCCCCTCGGTCACTTGTCACCAGTTCTATACCGTGTGAAGTCTCACAGCATCCATCACTCACCCGCCATCCGGAGCATCATGGCTTGCAGTGGCGTTATCTCCTTGAGGTTTTTCTTCTTCCTGTACTTGTCCTGCATGTCTGCGAACCGCACTATCCGCCCTGGGGAAGGACCACAATATCGATCACAACACAGGCATCAGGCAAACCGACACAGGCAACAAACCACAGGCAACAAGCCACCAGCAAAGACGAACACACCTCGACCACGCTCTCCTGTCACCTCTCAGCTGGGAGAACGCTTTGTTTTGCAGGTCAGGAAGAATTTATCTAATTACTCCACCCACTAACGGCGCTCACAGTATTTGAATCCATAACCTTCTGAGCTACAGACGCGAGTTCTGGCTGCTGAGACAGAATATGGGGAGTGTTGAGGGTGTGATTTGCGTCCAACTTGCGTTGCTGACAGTCGTTCACACGGGACTATGTTGCTTATAAGGTCAGGGCAGCTGTGGACATGATTCCACATTACTCCATCCATGCTGTGCCCTGATAGCAAACAATGTTGGTGTTTCACTGCAAACTACTGTACTGGCTGTAAAGCTGCCCTTACCCTGGGACAAGTGTACAGTGTCTGTACCACACACCTGGCTTATCATCTTCCTTCCTGATGCTGTCATCATCTTCATCGCGGTGTCGGAAATCATCCTCGTCGTCATCCTCGCTGTCTCTGTCCTTCCCGTCCTCACTGTCATCGTCCCGCTCCTCCTCCCCGCCCTGCTCCATGTCCTCAGGATAATCCTCGTCCCCACTCAGCTCCTCCTCCTCGTCCTGCTGCATGTCCTGGATAGCTGTGGGCAGAGAAAGGTGGGGGTTATCAGCCTGGCATAGAGAGCGAGGGTGTTAATCTGGCACAGAGAGAGAGAGAGCATCAGCCTGATATGGAAAGAGAGAGGGTTAGCCTGGCATAGAGAGATAGACCATTAGGCTGGATGGAGGAGGCATAGAGAGAGAGTCAGCTTGGCATAGAGGGGGCATAGAGAGAGAGAGAGCGTTTTATCCTAGCAGGGGGCAAACTCTTATGTTGTTATGTCTCTCTGTCTCTTTACGTGCCCTCTTACCCGTTTCAGGATCGTAAACGTTGTCTTCGTCCAGGCCCCTCAGACACATGCCGGGCGGGGGTCCCAGGCGCCGGGCATACATGGCCAACACCTGGGGTGGGGGGGGCCCAGGGGGTGGGCCGGGCGGCTTCTTGCCGGGGGGTAACCGTGGGACTCCATGGAAAGGGGGGGGCATGAGCATGACCGGTTTTGAGGCGGGGCTGCAAGAGAAAGATAACAATCATTAGGAATATATATTAAAAACTCTATGGCTTGTCGACAGCAACAACAAACAACAAATTACATGTACGCGGTGCCTTTCACGTCGGGAGGACGTCCCAAGTTTGCTGCACAAGTTTGAACCCGAGCTGGTGGTTGGGATCAGGAGGGCAGTGAGGGGGGATGGGGATAGGAGGGTGGCTGAAGGAGGCGAGGGAGGGAGCGAGGCCAAGGAAATGTGGGATGGAGTTCCAAAGAGTGGGAGCAGAGAAACTGAAGGACCACCGAGGGTGTGGCGGGGCAGGCGGGGGACGTGGAGCAGGCCGGATCCTGCTGACCGGAGGGAGCGGACAGATTGATATGGTCGACAAAATAAGCACCGAAACCGAGCGGAACCCAACCCCAAAAGACCCACGACAGCCACAGAACCAACAAGCACACCTCAACCACACAAAATCCATCTCAAACGGCCGCTGCTCACCCGTACGCTGAAGTCTTCTTCAGTATAGACGGAGGCTGAGCTCCTGGGAGAGGGATGTCCTGGATCATGATGTTGGATGGTGCGTGAGGCATGTCAGGCAGAGGAATGCTCTCCACCTCCACGTGCTGGGCGTTCTACACACAGGACAGGAGGGAAAGTTACTACTACACTGACAAAAACTTGCATGTGATATAGCATCTTATCACGTCTTCGAGACGTCTCAAAGCGCTTCACAGAATATACCGTGAAGTGAATTGACTGTATATTTTTATGGGTGAAACGCGGCAGCTGATTGCGCACAGCAGGATCCCACAAACAGTCGTGGATTGAGTGACCACACATTTTTTTGGAAGGGATTTTTACCCTCAGAAAAGCCAATCGACTAACAACCGGGTTCCTACTTATTCCTCTGTAAACAGAGACGTGTGTGTGGAGTAAGGAAACTTGCCTGGGAATTGAACCCAGGTCCTCTCACTTGCAAGGTGAGTGATCTAACCACTGAGCTACAGGATTCCATGACCAAAACTCACCACCTTCGGGGAGGAGTTAAATGAAGCAGGACCGACACGATTGACTGCTCACCTTGACAGCGTCAAAAAACTGGCAGAGTTGGGATCGTTTCTGCTCGTATTCCGTCTCGAGTTTCCTCAACTCCTTGTAGAAATCCGGGTTTTCCTTCTCGTACAGCCGCAGGATCCGCTCAAACGTCTCGCGCAGTTTTTTCCGCTTGTCCTTCAGCACCTTCTCGTTCAGCTGGGGCTGCTGCACGGGATTAAACTCTGTGCGAGGACAGTAAACACAAGCTCATAACTAGGATCAAAGGCACGGTGAAGAGCACTGGAAGCACTCAACAACAACGCATTACATTTACAGTGCCCTTCCACATCCCAAAGCGATGGACAGTCAGGGATTTGGACCCGAGCTGGGGGGTTGGGATCAGGAGGGGTGGGGGACAGGGAGAGTAAGGGGTAGGAGGGTGACCGAAGGTGCAGTTAAAGAGGGACTTGAGATGGCCTTGAAGAAAGCAAGGGAGGGAGCGAGGCAAAGGGACCGTGGGATGGAGTTCCAAAGGGTGGGGGCACTCAGACTTTCTGTATACATCACAAGATGGACAACACCAACTCTGGGACAGTCAGATCATGGTCATGTGTATCCCTCTGGGGGTTACAAGCTTCTGATGTGTCTCTTTAGAAAGCCGCTACGAAGGTTTGTCCGGGAAAATTCCCACTCATTACCCATCTCATCCAGCTTCTCCATGTCTTTGATGATCTGTTTGGGATCCTTCATCTTCAGCACCGCGGCCCGCACCATCATTCGCTGCTTCTTGTTCTGGAAAACGGTGGGAGACAGAACAACTCAGCAGCCGCTTCCGCCCGAGCCCTCCCTTCCCAGGACGTCCCGGTGTTAGAGACCCTCACCCATCGCATTGCATCGTCCGTATCTGTGCGGCTGCCAAAGTCACTCGTTTGCAACCAGGCTGGTCACACTGTCTACTGTCTGTAGGCAGTTTTTGTTTAACATCAGAGAATCAGCCCCAACAAACCACCAAATAAAAGGCCGGATGATATTAAAACCCTCCGGATTCATCTCTGCTGCACAGTATTTCTATGTGGAGTTGTTAAAAGATGTACATGAGATATGTGCAAGGCTCAGGAGTTTCGGGTCACTTGTGGTGAAGTGCATGATATGACACCCCATCACATCTGACACAGCGAGTGGATGGAGGAAGGTGTGAAGAAAGAAAATATTCTTTAGTTTAGATGCAAAACAAAACTACTTGGAAAAGTTGTCCCCACGACAAATGAGGTGTTAAATAAGTTTGTATTTGGCTTCTCCCCTCCTCTCAGCACTCAGTCGATCTCTCATCTTCTGAACCATACAATCTATACAGCGCTTTCCCATCAGAAGGCATCTCAAACAGTTTACAACCGGAGTTACTGAACTAAGCTGACTGGTTCTGCAATTATTCTCTCCTCTTTGGTGCTGGCAGTCTGTGCAAGCACATCTCCGCCTGTCTGAACGGTGGCCTATATATCACCTTGGTCTCTGGTGCTCATTACGGAATCCTTCCAGCAGTTCTGGCTTTAGGTCTGGAGAAGTGGCAGACTCCGAGACAGCAGTCTGCTGGAACAAATCTATAGCAAACCTCTACTGGTCGGAGCCAAGTCTACACACATCGCTCTGGTTCTGATTTAAAAGAGTTCCTGAGCCATGCCCACATATCATGCACATCTTTAACAACTCGCAGGACTATCAGAGACCCTGCACAAGAAAGCGCCGGAAACGCCGTGCACACAAAGTCACTCTTTACACCACGGAGCATGCTGCGACTGTCCTCACCTTCTTCAGCTCCCGTTTCCTGGCCTCCTTTCCTGTTGTAAAAGAAATCAATATCAAGCTCAGAAACTTGGACCTCAAAACCCTCAATGGCACAAAGCTGCACTCACACCTTTAGGAAAGTCTACTGAGAATACAAGCATCCTCATTTTGGTCAGAGTTCCACCTATGTACGCCATCTGCACATGGACAGTATAATCGGGTCTGGAATGGCACACACACTTTCCCTACAATAATAATAATCCTTGCATTTGATGCAGCGCCTTATCACGTCTTTGAGACATCTCAAAGCGTTTCACAGAATATACTGTAAAGTGAATTGACTATATATTTTGTAGGCGAAAAGCGGCAGCCAATTGCTCTCAGCAGCGTCCCACAACCAGTCGTGCATTGAATCCCAAATTACTATTGATTTTTAAATTTTATTTTGCAGGGGTTATTACCCCCGGAAAAGTGAAAACAGGTTCCTACTAACTGCTGGGTAAACAGAGGTCCTCTCGCTTGCGAGGCGAGTGCTCTACCCACAGGGCTCCACACACATCCCAGGATGAGAGGGATGTATTCTGTTTACTTAATTCTGAGGACTGTCAGGCACAGGTTGGTGAGACCTGAGGCTCGGAGGAGTCCCAGAATCCGTGTTCAGGTGCTGCCGGAGTTGAAGCAGCTAAAACAGCAACTTCTGTACTAACCCTCACTGGTTTCCCACACCTCAAATGCTTATTGTAAAACTAAATGCATCACATTTTCTTGGCCTGTGATCTCTGCCCTGACGCGGGGCTTGAACCCACGTCCCCGTGTCCCAGACGGTAACATTCTATCTGAACCAGTGACTGTCGTCAGCAGTGACCTCTGATGGCTTCCCCCCCCCCAGTTTATCTGCTCAGTGTAACGAGAGCCGAGGACTGGAAACGATGCAACTTTATAAAGGAAATAAAGTTTTAAAATTGATTTCAACCAAAGGAGGGCAGGGGATGGGGGACTGTGTGTGGGTGTGGAATGGAGGGGGGGGGGCGTCTATGTTTGGGGATGTGGAGGGATAGGGCTGTGTGTCTCTGGAGATATCTCTGTGGGGAGTGGGGGAACTCTGTGGAGGGGTGTAATGGGGGTATCCATGTGCCTGTGTTTTTGGAGATGGCTGTCTGTGTGTGAGGCAGTGTATGGGGGGGGGGGGGGGGGGTTGCTTGTGTCTGTCCGTGTTTGGGGGGCGGGAGGGGGGGTTATGGGGTGTGTATTGGGGTGTCTGTGCGTATATCGGTGTTGGTTGTGGGGGGGGGGTCGGTGACGATGTCTGTGTGTGTATATGGGGCTGTGAGGTGGGGGGGGTTATGTGGTGTGTATTGCAAGGGGGTGGGTAGGGGGTGCATTGTCTATGTGTGTATCTCATGGGGGGTAGAGGGGGTGAGGGGGGGTGGAGGGGGTGAGGGGGGGTGGAGGGGGTGAGGGGGGGTAGAGGGGGTGAGGGGGGTAGAGGGGGTGAGGGGGGGTGGAGGGGGTGAGGGGGGGTGGAGGGGGTGAGGGGGGTAGAGGGGGTGAGGGGGGTAGAGGGGGTGAGGGGGGGGTGGAGGGGGTGAGGGGGGGTGGAGGGGGTGAGGGGGGTGGAGGGGGTGAGGGGGGTAGAGGGGGTGAGGGGGGTGAGGGGGGTTCGGTTGGGGGTAGAGGGGGTGAGGGGGGGTGGAGGGGGTGAGGGGGGTTCGGTTGGGGGTAGAGGGGGTGAGGGGGGGTGGAGGGGGTGAGGGGGGTTCGGTTGGGGGTAGAGGGGGTGAGGGGGGGTAGAGGGGGGTCAGGGCGGCCGCGCGGTCACTCACGGGCCTGGTCTGTCGGGTTCATGAACTTCCCGCTCTTGGTGGAGCTGGTGGATCGCCGCCCCATCCTGTGGCCGCCTCCCGCCCTCCCGCCCCCGGGCTCCCAAACACAGGCTCGGGCTCAGACTCGGGGCCGAGTCTCTCTCTCTCTGTGTCTCTGTCTCCGAGTCTCTCACTTCAGCGCCGCCATCTTCAGCCCTTAGCAACGACCTCTGACCCCCCACTTCCGCTGCTCCACTTCCGCTCCTTCCAATGGCAGTTGTGTCTGTGTAGGGGGGGGTGTGGGGTTGTGTGTGTGGGGGGGTGTGCGTGTGGGGGGGTTGTGTGGGGGGGGGGTTGTGTGTGGTGGGGGGGTTGTGTGTGTGGGGGTTGTGTGTGTGGGGGTTGTGTGTGTGGGGGTTGTGTGTGTGAGGGGGTTGTGTGTGTGGGGGTTGTGTGTGTGGGGGGGGGTTGTGTGTGGGGGGGGTTGTGTGTGTGGGGGGGGTTGTGTGTGGGGGGGTGTGTGTGTGGTGGGTTGTGTGTGTGGGGGGTGTGTGTGTGGGGGGGGGTTGTGTGTGTGGGGGGGGTTGTGTGTGTGGGGGGGGGTTGTGTGTGTGGGGGGGGGTTGTGTGTGGGGGGGGGGTTGTGTGTGGGGGGTTGTGTGTGGGGGGGTTGTGTGGGGGGGTTGTGTGTGTGGGGGTGTGTGTGTGTGGGGGGGGTTGTGTGTGGGGGGTTGTGTGTGGGGGGGGGTTGTGTGTGGGGGGGTTGTGTATGTGGGGGGGGTTGTGTGTGGGGGGGGTTGTGTGTGGGGGGGGGGTTGTGTGTGGGGGGGGTTGTGTGTGGGGGGCGGTTGTGTGTGTGGGGGGGGTTGTGTGTGGGGGGGTTGTGTGTGTGTGTGTGGGGGTGTGTGTGTGTGTGGGGGGGGTTGTGTGTGGGGGGGGGTTGTGTGTGTGTGGGGGGTTGTGTGTGGGGGGGAGTTGTGTGTGTGGGGGGTTGGGTGTGGGGGTGGTGTTTGGGAGTTGGTTGGGTTTAGGGTGTGGGGTTGGGGAGGAGGTTTCGGGGCTGTGGGGGGGGTTTGAGGGAGTTTGTGAGATGTGCGGAACTGGGCAGAGGTTTTCAGCTGTGTGTGTGGGGGGGGGTTGTGAGGAAGTTGTGAGGTGGGGTGTTGTGTGGGGGGGGGCGTGTGAGGAAGTTGTGGGGGGGGTTGTGTGTGTGTGGGGGGGGGCGGGTGAGGAAGTTGTGAGGTGTGGGCTGGGGCGGGGGGGGGTTTCTCATGGTCCGCTCTTCTCTCAGCGGCAATAATTCATACACAATCCCAGCATCTCACCCCCACAGCAGACGGCCTCCATTGGGAAGCCAACAGCACCCTAGACTTTTCAGCCCTTCGCTTCACCCACGAAACTCAACAGTCACTACACTTGATAGTAAAGCCCCGCGAAGAGCTTTGAGATGTGATAAGGCGCTGTATCCAGTTCTCAGAGTTGGAACATAAGCCACTTGCAGCTTGAACCATATCCTACTAACCCCTTAATAGCTTCACACAGGTCTTTCGACCACCTCCCACCTCCCCTCGGAGTCAGGCGCTGCCACTGTTAAGCGCTCTGAGACCCTACGCTGCGCGGAGGGCGCTACATAAGCGCGAGTTGTTGTCTTTGTTTCCACATTTGTTAAAAGTATCCGCAGTCACTCGGCCTTTTTTGTTCGTCGAGCATTTCTTATGTTCCTATGTAAGTCTCTGGTCTTCCCCCCCCCCCTCCCCCCGTCTCAAATTCTCTCTTTGTCCCTCGTAGAGGCCACTGATCCCACCCTGACACACAGGTATATGCAAACGTCACTTGTGCTTGTTTTGTTTTGACCTTTATGAAAAGATTTGGGATCAACAAGTGGAATATGGTGGCATCCACCATTCCAGACAGTCACACACGGACAGTGCCTCACCGTTTCAATGTGGTCGTTATAGGTATACACCTCTGTCCTTAGCTCATAGGGAGAAAAAAAACACAGCGACACTGGAGGGTATTTAAGCCTTAAATATTGTAAGGTGTGGGATGGTGTTTGTAAAATGCTTAAGCTGGCTTCAGTGTTCATGATGTCACTGAGCCACGACGCTCAGACTAATCTGTCACAGCGACGTTCAGAGTAGAGTAGGTTCATACTGGGGTGCTGTTTGGCCTGGCTGTGCGATCACACTGTGCGAACCGACGATCGCATAAGTCATACCACCGTCAGCATCTGGCATTAAAGTATTCGATTCCTGAAATGTATGAAAACAAGATCATTAGCAAAATAAACAAAATAATTAACATCCACTGGACTGGCTCCAGCTTCCTGCATGTCCATTGGTGGCCACGCTTTCAGCCATTATGCTGTTTAGACTTCTTCACAACACATTAGTTCTTGAGTTTATTTTGACTTTAGTTAGTACTTGTGATATATTAGCCTCTGCAGTAAGCCCAGATATAGCCTTTGTTGACATACTTTCAGAAATACCTTTGCTGTAAAGTGATACATACCCTCTGTGGTGGGAGAGGGACGGTCCTGTGTGTCATCTAAACAAACCAAAAAAACAGAGCAGCAGTTAGGTGTTTCCACAGTGCACATCGGAAAAGAAAGTGTGACGTCAGAACGATTCCTAAATTTGTCATTTGCTGGGTTGAATCTGCTCTTCCCACAGCTTGGTAACACAGCCTCGTCTGGTCTGCTTCCTGTAGTCTCAGAGGGCACCTTATCGAGGAGCCAAGATCCTAATCGAGATTGAGAACCTGGAACAATACTTTAGGGACACACACGAGACAGCAGAACAAGAGAGCAGGTTAAGAAGCTGCAAGAGGGGAAATTTCAGGACGGACAACAGAAAGGTTGTCTTTACGCAGAGGGGAATTAACGGGTTGGCCAGAAAGGGTAGTTGAGGCTGTTTAAAAACACAGCTGGACGCTGGGATGGTGGAGACGGCAGAGAAGGAGTTCTGGAGGGATGAGATCAGATGGGCCGAAGGGGCTTTCTCCAGGTTGCACCGCGATATTTTATGATATCCAAGCAAGGAAGATGAAGACTAGAGGAAGGGCATGTGATTGTTAATGTGAATTGAAAAAATTCTTCATTTAACTCACACATTGGGATACTGTTGGTTCTATATTGTTGTCCTCCAGAGTCGGACCTACAAGAAAGAAATTGTCTTAATATTAAGCATTACACTAGTTTACTAAGGTAGTTTCTGTCTCCCGGTGTCCTGGCCCACAACCCCACAGGTAAAATTGGTCGTTCACTTCACAGCTGTTTTCGGGGCTTTGCTGTGCGCAAATCAACTGGTTGTTTGCCCACAAAACACGCAGTCACTACTCTTCACAACACTTTTAGATGTTTTAACTGGGTAACAAGGCTCAATGTCCAATATGAGTTTTTTTTACAAGTTATTTCAATCCCACGCGAGCTGTCATTGAGGAGTTTTAAATAAATAAAATAAACCCGAGTGGAGGAAAACATACAGATTTCGCCACAAAATACACAGTCAATTCACTTTACAGTTTATTCTGTGATGCGCTTTGAGCTGTCTCCAGAATGGAATATTTAGACTAATATTTACCTGCCATCTTGTCTGCTTGCTTTAACTGCAAAGAAACAACAATAGTTTAAAGTACTCTTTAAATGTGTTTATGCCCACCTCCCACCTCCTCCCATCAAGTCAGTATCCCTGACAGTCAAAATCCTGCGGTGCATTTTGAGATGGTTTGATGATGTGATAAACCACGAGATCGAATACAAAGATGCTTCAACTCTCACTAATTACCCCTGGCCTTGCTGCCGACTGACGCTGAACGATTCAACCCAGCATCAATGAGGGCGTACATCACGTGGCTAATGAATTTTTGTACAACTTGCCTATTCCGTTCACCTACCTTTCTTCAGCAGGCACAGCCACGCCATTCCAATAAGGAGGAGGAGGAGTATTACTCCAGCAGAGGCTATGCCAGCTGCTAGCGGGACATGAGAAGCTGTTGAAGAGAGAGAGAGAGAGAGATTAATGATCGGGATTACTCAGTGAGTGTTGGCCTGTTTTGCCTGCAGTCGCTTCACTTTACAGTAAACTTTGCATTTAATTTGCGCCTTATCATCATAATAATAATCCTTGCATTTGATACAGCGCTTTTCATGTCTTCTCGACGTCTCAAAGTACTTCACAGAATATGCTGTAAAGTGAATTAACCGTATGATTGTGGGCGAAACGCGGCGGCCAATTGCACACAGCAGTGTCCTACAAATGGTGGATTGAGTGACCAAATTAGAATTTTTTCGGGAGGGATTATAACCCCCAGAAAAGCTATCCTCTAATCAACTAACAACTGGGTTCCTACTTACTGCTAGGTAAACAACAACAACAACAACAAAATCAGACTTGTAAAGCGCCTTTCACGTCGGGAGGACGTCCCAAGGCGCTGGACAGACAAGAGTTACGGACCCGAGCTGAGGGTCGGGGTGGAGGAGTGGGGGAAGCTTGGAGATAGAAAGCACCGTCGAAGAGGAGGGTCTTGAGGTGGATCTTGAAGATGGCGAGGGAGGGGGCGAGATGGAGGGACTGCGGGAAGGAGTTCGAGAGGGTGTGTGCAGAGTGGTGGAAGACCCACCCGCCGATAGTGGGGCGAGCGAGGCGGGGGACGTGAAGCAGGCCGGAGCCCGCTGAGCGGAGGGAGCGAACAGGGTGGTAGGGGGTTAGGAGGTCAGAAAGGTAGGGGGGAGCAAGACAGAGGAGTGTGGAGAAAAGAAACTTGCCTAAGGTTTCACCCCGCCCAGGAATCAAACTCAGGTCCTCTCGCTTGCAAGGCGAGCGTACTAACCACCACACTATGGGACTCCACATAAATCCTTTGAAGCGCTTTGGGATGCCCTCCCAACATGAGAGACGCTGTACAAGTATAAATTGTGTAGTATGTAGCAGCGGCAACAACATTCAGTAACAAAATGGAGTAACAGTAATAATGATAATAATCCTTGCATTTGATATAGCGCCTTATCACGTCTTCGAGACATCTCAAAACTTTGCAGGATTAATTGTGGATGATACAGTTTGCAGTAACAGTAACACACTCCAGACTTCCCTAAGCTGTTCGATTTCTAAAGGGTGAGATCGTGTAACATTCTGGTACTGAGCCCTGAGTGCAAAGTAGCTATGATTACTTATTACTGCCTCAGTATAACTAACCATCTCCCCAGCTGTTGTTTCCAGGCCACAGCAGAACCCATCTCTCGTGGTGACCAGCGCGCTCACAAGGCAGAGCAAAGGGACACGGATGTTAAAGGTTCAACCAGCCGTCTTGTGAACTGAATTTGCAGACAGCAGTGTGCGAACGAGAGAAGTGTGGGCATAAACATGGAGAGCAGTGGAAGAGAAGCCAAGGGCTCACTGACCTTTCAGGATGATGTCCACCTTGGCACTGGATTCAGACAGTATGGATCCTTCAACCTCGTACAGGCAATGGTAAGTCCCTTCATCTGACATGTTGATTTGTTTGATGGTGAAAACGAGTTGTTTTTCTTTGCTGTCTACACTATGCTTCACCTTCCCGTCTTTGTATAAACGAAATTGCATTACACGTTGTGTCTGTGCGGGAGCTTTGCAGGTGAATTGAACGGTGTCCCCTGGTGTTGCAGAGTCTGGCGAGGGCCTGGTAGACAGGATGGGCTGTGAGGGCTGTTCTGAAACAAGATGATTGAAGAAATCATGTGCATTTACTCCTCAACACCTCCCTCATCCCCTCTGTTCCACCATCGGCGGCTGTGCTTCCAGCCACAGCACTCCGTAACTCTGGAACTCTCTGCCTGAATCCCACTCCCCCACCCCTCTCCTTCACTACCTTCTGTCCTCAGATCACGACTGAAGACATCGCTCTTTTTGACCATTTCTTTCAGCAGATTTGAGTTGTTATCACTCAGGCTGTGATTGAAATGGCTCACAGCCAGCGATTCCGCACTTGAAGCATTGTCGGACTCTACGCTGTGTGAGGGGCGCTATCCAAATGCAAGTTGTTGTTGTTGTTTGGCCCAGGGCCCTGTTTCCACCGTGTCCAAATTTGCAATTTCTGCACAGTTTGTCAAAATGTCTCACAGCGCTTCGCAGGCTTTTACTGTCATGTGTAGTGACTGTGTGTTTTGTAAGTGCCGGGCGTACAACATCAGGCCTCTGTTGCCTCAAAGGAACCTTGGCAAACAGGCACAGGAAGAGGCCATTCAACTCGCTGTCACTGAGCCTATTCTGTCAGATCTTTTAATCCCATTTCCCTGCCCAACCCCTTACTGTGGTTGCAACACTAAAAGATTGCAGTTCCTGGGTTTGTTTCACACACACTAACCTTCTGCGGCCAATTGTTTTACACCCATTATTTGAACTGGAAGAGAAAATAAAACATCACGATTACAATGAGAAGAATTACAGACAAATTAGACAATTACAGATCACAACCATGTTGTGCAGGAGCCACAGCCTGGCTCTGCGGCTTTGGACAGTAAAGCTGGCCTTACCATGGGAGAGAGAAAAGAGCTGGGACTGGGAACGAAGGGCTTGTGGAGTCCTGTAGCCCAGTGGTTAGTGCACTTGCCTTGCAAGCGAGAGGACCCGGGTTATCCTGGGTAGGATGAAAAGTTAGTCAAGTTTCCTTCCATACACATGCTTCACTTAGTCAATTGGCAGATCACTTTCTGGGTCAGTAATAATCCTTCCAAAAACAAAATTTGATCACTCAATCCACGATTGTTTGTGGGACACTGCTGTGAGCATTTGGCTGTTGCGTTTCGCCCACAAAATCCACTTCACAAATTATTCTGTGAAGCTTTGAGATGTCTCAAAGACGTGATAAGACGCTATATCAAATGCAAGAGTTATTATTACTATTGTAGGTGGGAGAGAAGGTACACTGTGGCAGGATGAATGTCAGATACAGAGAACACCTCTGATCTATACCTCAACTCCAATTGGCCGCCTTTGCCCCATATCCCTTAATACTCTTACACACAAAACCACAAATTGCATTTATATAGCACTCTGCACACAGGGGAGATACCTAACAAACATCTATCCACCTCAGTCAGTTTGAAAGGATCCAGCATCCACAGCCTTTTGGGGGTGGTACAGAGTTCCAGATATCCACTCCCCTTTGCATGAAAAAATTGCTTCCAATAAAAAATTTGATTTAACAACAGCCCCTTGCAGTCAGGCCAGTCCTTCCACTGCAACCATCCAGTCCTACCCCAATTTCCTCTACGTCTTTGTAATACTCCCCTTCAAAACAGTGGCAAGCTGTGTGGTTTTAGCTGGTTAGACTCCAGCAGTTTCCCCCAATGCACACTCTGGGCTCTCCCCCCCCCACTCCGCCCCCAGCCTTGGCTCTCGCCAACCTGCGCCTAATACTCTCCGGAATTAGGTAACTAGGAAGAGTCCTTCCAGGGAGAGAGAGAGAAGAGCGCATTCCATTCCAACAATCTATCTCTGGGGTCTCGATGTGTAGGTGGGACGCGTGGAATTCTCAGCCTGGTTTGGAGACTCTTTTATATTATTATTATTAAGTATGGAAATGGGTTTTCGCATATGTCAGACAGACACCTACATGACCAAAGAAAAATTTCAGCTCTCAGAATTCCTTGTGGGTGTCTCGTCATGTCTTTCAAAAGACCTGAATTTGAAGGATAAAGGGACCACCATCAGTTTTTAAGCCTTCAGTCTCTCTCAGTTTCAGTCTAATTTTTTTTTCAGCGACAGTATAAAAGAGGATATAAACCACTCACTCACCGGCTACCAGAATAACAGCAAAGAAAAGCATCGTCAGGTCTGATGCTGGCATGAAACTTGAGGCGCACACGACAAAGTGAGATGGCGGTTCCCTTGCTCTTGTGAAATACCCTATTGTTTACTCTCCCCCGATGACGGGCTCCTTCTGTGATTCTGGAAACGGACCCTGCTTCCTCTTAAATCAGGCGTTTCACAACCAACTGCAAATTCAGACAATCAGCAGGAAATATCTTGGTGTGAAATCGCCTTATACCTTACGCTGGACCAGCCTCTCAAACCCACCTGCTCCCCCATTCTATGAAACCATGGCCGATCAGTACCTCAGCTCCATTCACCCTTTTCTCCATCTATAATAACAACAATAATAATAATGATCCTTGCATTTGATATAGCGCCTTATCATGTCGTCGAGGCATCTCAAAGAGCTTCGTGATTAAATTTTAATGATTAAAATACCATCAACAAGGATCAGTGTAAATTGTGAGACAAATATTATGAGGTGTGTGGGGATGAGGTTCAGTGTCTTTAACCACACGGTCCCTCAGCTTCTGGGTCAGAAGGTTGTGGGTTCAAGCCCCACATTGGGATTTCAACCCACATCATCCAGACTGACACTCCAGAGCATTGTTGGGGAGGAGAGTTGTATTGTTGGGTTTGAAAGGCACAAGAGAAATGTCATTTTCTGTCGTTAAGGACATTAAAGATCCCACAGCGCTACTTGAAAAGAGAAGGGAGTTTCCTCACTCTCCTGGTGTCTGGGTCAACAATCCCCCAAATAAAATCACTCATTCAATTCATGGCTGTTTGCAGCTTTGTCACTGTGTGCAAATTGGCTGCCGTGTTCACCTACAAAAAACACAGTCACTGCACTTTACAGTGAATCCTCTGTAGCTCTCTGGGACGTCCTCCCGATTTGAAAGGTGCTGCATCAAACATTATTGTAATCCGCAGGAGACTTCAGAAAGACAACACTCACCGACCGCAGAAAGGATGATAAACAGCGACATCGTCCTTCGAGTGTGAGGGGAGTTGACGGCTGAATGTGTCTAACTTTCCAAAAGCGGCCCCCAAAATGATCGATCAATGTATTTCAGCAAACCTCCAGCCACGCACAGGGTAGGTTGATTTTAAAGTCTCCTCCGAAGGCAATGCTGCTGTCTCTCCTTCCAGTACTGCGCTGCAGCGTTAGCTCAAAGTCCCCCCAAAGTTGGGGCTCAGAACCTACAACCTTCTGACTCAAAGGTGATAGAGCCAGAACCCGAGCCAGTGGTTGAGCTCAAACCTATGAGAAACATCCAGGTTTAGACCTGACCAGGATGGGTGATCAGTATTTTGCAACTCCAGGAAGTGACACACATCCCCAGGAATTTCATCACCAAACCGCTGAATTGCGGGGGACGGGATGGGGAGAATGGGCAGCAGGGGGAACGGTGTCAGGATGGTTTATTATAGGGGAGGCCGGAGGAGGGGGTGGGGGTGTAGTGTGTGGTCAAACTTGTGATGTGATGTTCGTCACCGGTGATAATTATTGCATCCCGGGACGCTTTGCCCCATCCGTCCAGGCAGTGTCTGCCTGTGTGTATGTGTGGGGGTGTAGGGATTGCAGGGGGGTTGGTGGGTGTGGTGGGGTGGTTATGTGACGGTGTGTGGGGGTGGTGGGGGGGTAGTCTACGTTGTCAGAGACACTGCTGTGCGGATTCTCGCAGTTGTTTTATTAAATATTAGGTGTGTGTATGTCTGCGTTGCACAACGACAGGGTGGAAAATTGTGAGACCTTGCGTGTGCTGACGGATGGGCCCTAATGGACCCTTTGATAAAACGGGGGAACTTGCTCTGTTTTACCTTTTCCTCAATCTTGTGGCTGAGGTGGCAGAGAGAGCTGAGCGTGACCACTGGTCGGGGAATGACATAGTGGAAATGGCATTGCATTCTGTAGCTCCCTATTTGTCTCAGCCTTTGGCTGCCGCGTTTCGCCCACTAAATGTACAGTCAATTCATTTGCACTGTATTCTCTGAGGCGCTTTGAGACGTCTCGAAAAGACGCTGTATCAAATGCAAGGATTTTTACTAGTATTATTATTATTATTAGCCTGTGCCTCAGACGGTTGCACTCAAGCCTCTGAGAATATAGGAACAGGAGGAGGCCAGTCAGGCCTTTGAATGAGATATTGGCTGTCGTTTTCCCCTACAAAATAGACACTTGACAGTGAATCCTGCGATGGTCTGGTTTTCCTTGGGACCTCTGTCAAGCATTGCCAAGGCTGAAAACTGGCCTTAGAAACCGCAGCACAAATATACATTAAGTGGATTGAAGCTCTCTTCTTCCCTATCCAGCCCAATGTGCCTCACAGCTGCCCTTTGATCATACAATGCTTCCAGCTGTGTCCAAATTGCCTCCAGGATTGGTCTGGCCTACAAAACAGGTTGGAGGGAGTGGAGGGCTTGAACCCAAAACCTTCTGACTCAAGAGACGAGAGTGCTACCAACTGAGCCAGGCTCATAAGAATAATCCTTGCATTTGATTATGTCTTTGAAACGTCTCAAAGTGCTTCACAGAGTATATTGTAAAGTGAATTGACTATATATTTTCTGGGCGAAAAGTGGCAGCCAATTGCACAAACAGCAGTGGTCCCACAAACAGTCCTGGATTGAGTGACCAAATTATTATTATATATACTTTTTGTGATAATGCATTGGAACTGAGACTGAACTCAACTGCCAGTGAGGGTCTAAATCTACAATCCGCTGATCCAGAGGAGAGAGAGAGAGAAAGAGAGTGACTGAGCCAAAGGGGTGTGTGTGTGGCGGGGGTGGGATTATAAACTCCGTTGGAAACACAGAATGAAGTGCTCCCTGGCTTAAGCAGGATCAAGCCATCTCCCCGTTTCCCCTAGTCCTGACCTCAGGCCTGCGTTACACACACAGATCTGCTTCTCATCTGATGCACAGCACAAGCCGTTGTGGGCACATGTGATAAACATTCTGTCAGTGTATAACTCATGTATACAGTGCGAAGCCAGGAATGTAATGTCTGATGTGATGGGCTCCATCTGACTCCCAGCCCATCTGGTAATGTTTAAGACAATGTGTGTTGTCGCAACGAAAGCACCAGCGACTGCCACATTTTTACATTCGTAGAGTCCTGTGGCTCAGTGGTTAGAACACTCGCCTCGCAAGTGACAGGACGCAGGTTCGATTCCCGGGCAGGTGAAATGTTGGGCAAGTTTCCTTTCGCCACACACATCTCGCAGTAAGTAGGAACCCGGTTGTTAGTCCAGCAAGTCACAAACTCACCCAGCAATCACTCAGTCACACTTTACGGTGAATCCTGTGAAGCGCTTTGAGACGTCCTCCCGCCGTGCAAGGCGCTGGGTCAGATGTAAGGATCATTATTATCGTCATTATAAATTGTCCCTCTCAGTGTGAACCGAGTTCACTGATCTGCTCAGAGGATTGACGGAGTGGGATATAATAATGGTGATTGACGGAGTGGGATGTAATAGTAATACACTTCATTTATACATTATGTAGCAGTAAAAATTATGTACATTGCATTTGATATAGCCCCTCATCAGGTCGTTGAGACGTCTCAAAGCCTTTCACAGGATACACTGTAAAGTGTGGTGACTGTGTGTTTGGTGGATGAAGTTGTGACTTACTGAACTAACAACCAGGTTCCTACTTACTGTGAGAGAGGAGTGTGTGTGGAGTGACTGTGGGTGAAATGAGGCAGTCAGTTGGGCACAGCAGTATCCCACAAACAGTCGTGTCCCACAAACATGTTGAGTGAAGCGTGTGGTGAAGGTTTAGCTGAATAACGTTCCGTGAGAGAGTTTACAGTTTCCTTTATGGACTGGGTTTGCAGTGTGTAAAAGTGTCTGCTCAAATCACACGTTTAGCAACCTGGAGTGCACATGGTTACCATCTGGGCTTCATTGTCACAGAATGGCATTGGTAAACAGCAGCAACAAAAAAACCTCTCCACGTCTCTTGGAACATTGGTAGATGAAAAAAGGAGGTGATGCAGAGAGTGGGAGAGTGACAGTGATAGATATAGACAGTGAGAGAGACAGAAAGAGACAGTGTGAGAGAGAGAGAGTGACAGAGGGAGAAAGAGAGAGAGAGAGAGTGACGGAGAGGAGAGTGACAAAAAGGGAGTGAGAGAGCCAGAAAGAGAGGGGGAGTGACAGAGAGGAGAGTGGCAGTGAGAGGGGGAGTGGCAGAGAGAGAGGAGATTGACAGTGAGAGAGAGAGTGAGAGCCAGAGAGTCCGAGGCAAATTGAGAGAGACACCGAGAGAGTCAGAGATTGCGATAGAGTCAGTGAGAGACACAGACAGTGAGTGAGTGAGAGAGAGAGAGAGAGAGAAAATTAGAGAGGTTCAGACAGTAAGAGAGTCAGATACTCAGGTAGAGTGAGAGCGCGAGAGAGACCGACAGTGAGAGACAGAGATTGAGTTAGAGACAGAGAGAATCACAGACAGAGAGCGAGGGGAAATTTTGCCCGCGATCGATTGGGAAACAGAATTACAGGTGGTTTTTTTATTATCAATATTGTTATTACTATCCTTTTTAAGTGGAAAGAAAGTCTCCAAAGAGTCGCTTGAAGTTGGGTTAAAACAGTGAAGCGATTCCAGTGATTCCGATTAACTTGGGAGGCTGTTCGCTTAAAGTGATCCAACGTTGAATTTGAAAGTAATTGTTTGCCGGTTTAAAAATCAAACTCTGGCAGATCAAACATCGGGTTTAACGGGGGATTTGGACTTTGACTGAATTGGACATTTGGGAGACTTGTGTCTTAAGTATTTTTTTGTGTGTGGGTGTCTGTGGTGTGTCTGTCTGTCTGTCTGTGTGTGTGTCTGTATGTACAGGAGTGCGGAGTCACTCTCTCTCTCTGACACGGAGTTGGGACGTCCTCCCGACATGAAAGGCGCTACGCAGATATAATTTTGTATTGTGTGTGTGCTGTGTGTGGGTGTCTTGATTCTCAATTTAGTTTAAATCTTACTGATTCACTGTATTACTGTCTGTGGAGTCCTGCAGCTCCGGGCTGGAGGTTGGGATCAGGAGGGGGGGGTGAAGGGCAGGGACGGTGGGGGTAAGGGGGTGTGGGGGTGTGGGTGACTGAAGGTGCAGTCGAAAAGAAGGGTCTTGAGACAGGCCCTTGAAGGAGCCAAGGGAGGGAGGGAGGGGGCGCGAGGTGAAGGGACTGTGGGATGGAGTTCCCAGAGCAACACCAGGAACGTTCAAACAGGATGGCTTTAATGTATTGTGTCTCTTACACAGGATTGCTCAGTGGGTGAGGATGAAGTGTGCTGCTCTGCCGGCTCTGGCTCTGGCTCTGGCTCTGGCACTTGCTTTAAGTCTCGAAACGGCACAGTGTAAAGAGCAACGGGTGACAGACAACTGGAAATGGAACTACAGAGAAGGAGGTAATGGAGGGCGATTGGTGTCACGGCTGAAATCCCATCCAGTCTCAGCCTCTTGCACCGTCATTATCGTCTTAACATTTAAGAGCGAGCCAGGGAGCGAGCGAGCGAGCCAGGGAGCGAGCGAGCGAGCGAGTGAGTGAGTGAGTGAGTGAGCCAGGGAGGGAGGGTGCGAGAGAGGGATCGAGGGAAAGAGTGAGGGGCAGAGAGAGGAGTGCAGCTGCACTCTCTCTGACCGTGAGTGAGGAAGGGAGCGAGAGGAAGGGATGAGCGAGGAGCAGAGAGGTGAGTGCGGAGTCACTCTCTCTCTGACACGGAGCGAGGGTTAGGCTCTGTTTGGAGCTCCGTGGACAGTAATGGCTGTTTTCACAGTTGACCGGGTGAATATCCAGGGAGTGCGGAGTGTTTCCCGTGTCCTCGACCACTGGGGGAACAGGATCTTCAACACAATGAGGGACACCATCATCAACCACCCCCAGGACGTGCTGCCCGACTACTCCAGGTACACACCCGCTCTGCACCCCTATACGCTCGTGTACTATTCCAGATACGGGAGGAGTGTAATGCACTTAAGAGAATGTAACAGCCAGTGTTTCCCTCTCTGCACTACAATAATAATCCTGACATTTGACACA